CTGATGTACTGTGTCCTCCCTCCTTCAGCAGAAGACAAACTACTTTCCTTTCTCCTCTCCTGCAATGAATTATTAATATCAAACACATAAAGCTTTATTCAATGGCCTATTAAAAGAGATATTAGCAAGGTTTAGGCTGAAGTTTTAAACACGAAAACATGTACATTGGACGTTCAGCACTGCTTTCCTGCAAGCCTAGAAGTTTGACAATGGTTTTGGAATGTCAAGCATGATTCCACTGACTATCCAAACACCATTGTCAAACTTCTAGGCTTACAGGAAAGCAGCGCTGAACGTCCAACGTACATGTTTTTGTGTTTGAAACTTCAGCCTCAACTTCGCTATTAACATAGAAAAAGTAATAAACCTACCACTAATTAAAGAAAATTTACATAACTAGCCTAGTCTAAATAAAATAGGCCTACACCAAAATAAAACATTTTAGAAACAATTGATTATTTTATTTAATTAGCATGGAATAAAAATAATGAAGAAAATAAAACTATAGCCCTGCTGTTTTCTGTGTATTAACATTAAGGCTAAATTAGGTATAGACCTATTACATTTCAAGAATATTAACAGGCTGAACTTAAATAAAAAAGTTTCAGAATATAACATTTTTTAAAGGTGCCACTACAAAATGTCATGACACAAATTTAACTAACTTGAAAGTAATCATGAATAGGCAGTATTTTTTTTACTTAAAATATAATTACAAATTGAAATAGTCACTATTAGTACATACTTAATATTAAGATGAATTTGCAGATATAATACTTTTATATATGCAAGCTTTATAATGGTATTTGAAAATAATCCATTTTCTTCCTTGTATTGTTTTCTTTATAAGATGGAGTTTTTGTTAAACATTAATATTACATATAATATGATGATTTTATTACAGTAGAGCGTCGATTTTCCGAATCAATTGAAGACTGGGGTTGTCCGGATAACTGATTTACGTACGAAAAAATAGTTTAACGTATCCGATGTCTAAATTTTTCTCCGTTGCGTGTCTCTTTGCGTTGAATTTTCGTCAATGTTAAATATACTTCAGATGTTAATTTAGTATCAAAAACGTAAAATATTTGAGTAGCCCAAGACATAGCCAAAGATTGAAGTGCCACATCACTGGCGAAAATTTAAATTTGCCGACTGGAATTCTTTCGGATGATTGATTTTCGGAAAATCGACGCTCTACTGTATTTCCTTTTCACAGGATGGTAGCATGTCTATTCCTGGCAAATTATTTTTAAAAAGCAACTGGGTAATCACTTTAGATCTTTTGTCAATGTGTATTATGTCAGCCATGCACTAAACACTGATGTAAATTCCACCTCCTCCAGCCCTTCTATCTTAGAGGATAGTTGTAATCTCATTCCCTAATGAAAATAGGCAGCATTATCAATTACAAAGCTGTAGCACATGAAAAATATTGCAAACTTGACTTAATGTGGACTGAGATGACAAGTTTTATGACATAATCATGATTCTAGTCTAAACAGAAATCGAAATGTACTACATAAGTACTCTCAATATTTTACAGATGCATCTTTAGGCAAAATGCAGAATGAGAACAAAATTTTAAACAAATATATGTTAATGAGTTTTAAATAGATGCTCTTAATTGAAATGACACTTTGGTTGCAATTTTTCAAGGAAATTTATTAAAAAAATTTTTTTCACATGGAAAACATTTTGTAATGCCAAATCCTATTTGGGATGATATTTGGCATAAATTAAATTCTCTGTTATATACTGTCAACAATAATAATTGAAAGTAGAATACAGTTCTGGCCAAATGGCTGTCAAAATTTTATTATTGAAATGTTTTTACTATGTTTATCTTATGTTTAGTGTTATTCTTGAAGGGTACAACTGGCCTTGCAACCCACACTAACTCATTCAGACACATACGATGTTCCATCATCTACTTGCATTCATATCCCTTATTGGGACTCTTGAGAGCACTCACTCCAGGGGCACAGATGGCAATTAGCTTTCCCTTACTTTGTTTCAACTGTCAGTATATAGCTGCCTTTCAACTTTGTATTTTAATTCTTATTTTCTGTCTTTTTCAATCTAAATTCATTTAGTCCCAGTTGTAAGTTAGATTAGAGACTCTTAGCTTGGTTTCTGGTTAGGTTAAAGTAGATTAAGGTTTGTTAGCTTTAATCATCTGGTTAGGTTCGTCCTAGGTAGTTTAGTTTAGTTAGTGAGTAAGTTAATGTTTAAAAAAAATAATAAATTTTTGGGGTCTTGCTTGTTTGTCTCTGTCGGTCCATTTGTCTCATCTAGTTTGTCATTGTGTTTGTTTGCTTTTTGCACTGTCCGTCTACCTGCTAAGTAGTATTAAGATTCATGATCACATTCAGTTTTATTAGTATTAGTATTAGATATAAGTCTTCCTACTAACAACCACTTGGTACTAACTTCCACACTTAGCTGTTTGTGGCTGCACTCAACTATTGGTGTTTGTTACACTCAGGTTTTCTTTTAGATCCTTTGGAGGACTATGGACTTGCAGCCTAAAAACTGCACACCAACATCAAACATAGAGGGTACTGTAGTCTTATGTACACCGTTCAGAGGGATTCTACCTTTCTCCACTGTCTATCTCCTCACCCTCCTTACCCTCTTTTCTGCTGGCTAAACACTTCATATACGACTGATGTCTTTCTTGTATGTATGTATGTTTATCTTATTTAATGTCTCTGTGTATATTTTGTTGATGCATCTATGTCAAAATCTCTTAAATTAATCCACTGGTTGATTGTCCCAAGCAAGACAGTGGTAATGTAATTACTGTTGAGTTTTAAATAAAATTAAGTTTTTACAATAAATCTGTTCAGTATACTGTTAAGTGTCATTGATTTTTAACATAATAATATAACTTAAAGCATTTCAGGGTTAAAATGGCAACAGAATAAATTTACATTATTTGGCACATATATGTAAGCCGTTTGACATGTTTGAATGAAAATGACCTGACAACTCTGCAAATAACTAATGGCTACTACTATTGCATTGCCATTTCTGAGACTACATATCCAAATGTAATTTTGAAAAGAATCAAAATCAATTATCATATTGGAATTGAGACTTTTTAGTGGAATATGCATCAGTATTGGAATCATTATAAATTTTAGTATTGTCCTATTACTAATCATAAGCATAAAGATATTTAGTAAGTTTTGTTTTATTTTGTTAAACAATTCTATGAAAATAATGTAAATATATTTTAAAATATATACATATATATATCTACTATATATTAAAAATCAAAATTGTTAAAAGAAGTAATTTCATTCTGCAGTAAAATATATGTATTTTGTAAAATAAATCTAAGAATAAAATTACTTTGATGTTCAACAAACTTGTGTAAGAATTTTATTTTAATATTGAAAATATTTATTATAAATTTATCATGGAGTCCACAGACTACATTCTATATAATTGAATGCTCTTTATTTATTTAAATTTACATAGATATATCTGTTCCTTTTCACTTAAATATGCTTTTCAAATTTTTATAATAGTGTTTTTAGGTTTCATTTTTTTTTTAAAGAAATATGTATTATTGAATTCATTTTTTAGTGAGCAAAATAGTTGTGTTGAAATCCAATATATGTTAATTTCTTAATGTATATTGTAAACAAAAAGTTAATATTTCAATTATTATTAATTTTTAATGTAAAATTATGTAAATTAGCTTAAATAAACATGGGTTTTCAATATATTTTGGAATTATGGTCCCTAAAATAATTAGTTAATTTCTAGTAAGACTGACCCTCAAGAGAATATGTAAATTAGGCCCTCCCAATATGGCCCTTATAGAATTAGCTTCCACAATATTATGCCAATTAGGTTTAAAAAATCCTCAATTTCCTGATGTCATTACTCAATCTTTGATCTCTTGTTAACAATGATAATCCTTCTGGATTTGATGTCAGCCAGATGGGCCTCTAGATTAGCGGCTTCAACAAGTGTTTAGAGCAGGCCTGGCCAACTTGCTGCTGTTACGTTAAATTGTGTGGCCCTCTAAGTGATTTTATATATATTAAAACTTTTGTTTCTTGTTATGTTTATACCAAAAAAAATTAAGTAAATGAAAATTTGCATGTGTTATGTTATAATGCGCAAATGCGACTACAAACACTAGTTTTATATTTGGTACGTGTGAATCTTTGTTCCAGATGATGGCACCACCCTGGTGACCAACATCTCAACTAGTATCTGTACTCCCTAAAGTGTGGCCCACCATAATGTTATACGTCATCAAAGTGGCCAGTGAAACAATTTTGGTTGGCCAGGCCTGGTCTAGTGCCTTGGTAAATCTTAGTTCTAAATTATGCCGCTACAGCAAACAGTGTCAGTCATGGGAACTGATTTTGTCAGTTTCGGGTTGTAATTACACATGGTCTTCTCTTTGTTCAGTCTAGTCTTGGTTAAAATGGAGTGCACTATATGCCATTTGAAATATAAATATAAACAAAGTTTAAGCAAACACACAAGAGAGAAACATAAAAAGGATTAAAGCAATGATAGAGTTTTAAAAATATTTAAATGTAGTTTGTGTTTAAGTGAATATCAGAAAAAAGAAGAAATATTGTCACATTTCGACAAAGTACAGTACATGACACTTTTATATCTAATAATAACCAGACATTTAATTCATTTGGTGATTTTAAGGAATGGAAACAGAAATATGAAGTGGAAAATACTGTTAAGTACAGTACATTATAATGAGTGGCTCAGAAAAGAACATTATGCCTAATAGTTCTGAATATTATAGTATTCAGAACTATTAGGTGTAATGTTCTTTTCTGTCATAGATCTGGTTATTTCAAAAGTAAGGGAAAAAGTATTTGTCATTTAAAAATACAAGGAAGCAAAAAGATTGATGGATTCTGTCCATCCCAAATTAAAGTGAGCGTAAAAGATAACGAAAAGTGTGTGTGCACCTTCATACTGCAACATGTAGGCCATCAAAATGAATTATGTCATCATCGAAGGAGATAAGTATATTATCAACAAAAATTTCTTCAATGAAACCTTTCAATGCCATAATAGAGGAAGTCAGAGACAGCCTATCAACTCCTGAAGAGCTACAAAGATTTCATTTAGTAACCAGAAAGGATCCACATAATATTGAAAGTAGTTTCCAATTGTCATCGAATTCTGTAAAACATCCAAATGATTCAATAAGTGTAGACCTGGGTGAATGAAATGAGAGATGGCAATGATGATTGTGTGTTGTTTTATAAACCACAAGGTACAAAATATGAAGAATATCTTCATTTATCAGAATCTGACTTTGCTTTAGCTATTATGAATGATGGCCATGCTTTTGTTAGAAAAATATGGAAATGATGCTGTGTGTATTGATGAGACCCATGGACTTAATGCTTATGATTTTGAATTAATATCACTGATGATAATTGATGATATGTGACAAGGTTTCCATTGTGCGTTTTTGTTTAGTAACAAAACTGACAAGGAGATATTACAGATCTTTTTTTCTAAGATTAAAGAACAAGTAAGCTCCTTGTCACCAAATATATTTATGTCAGATGTGGCTGACTCATTTTTCAATGCTTGGGTGCATGTTATAACCTCACGAACCTGCTCAAAGATTATGTTGTTTGTGGCATATTGACAATGCGTGGCACAAGATCCTCTGGAAAATAAAGTTTAAAGAGAAAAAGATTGAGGTATATAAAATCATATGATTACTGGTGCAAGAAACAGATGAAGAAATATTTAAATTAATTTCAGAAGCAGCAGTGATAAAGTTGGTTGATGATTCTGACACAACTGATTTTGGACAATATTTGAAAGAAAACTATATGAAAACTGCAAAATATTGGGCTTATTGCTACAGACTACATTGTGGCCTAAATACAGATATGCATGTAGAGAATATGCATAAGTGCATTAAACATATATATTTTCAAGGAAAGAGACTAAAGCATCTAGATAAAGCCATTCATGCTTTAATGACTTTTTTAAGAGATAAGATGTATGATAAAATCATTGTCATGCATAAAGGAAAAGTAACAAGCAAGCTTTCTGATCTGAGAAAAAGGCACAAAATTAGTTTAAGCTTATGCAAAGATCTTCTTATAAAAGAGGATAACACATGGAAGATTCCTTCATCAAATGGATCAGATATCTGTACAGTTGCTATGATAAAAGAAAATTGTGAATGTCAAATAGTATGTAATAAGTGTAAATCTTGCATTCATATGTACACATGCATATGCATTGATTCAGCTATCAAATTCAATATGTGCAAACACATTCATCTTGTTTGCCAGTTGAGAGCTGAATCAGTTTCAAAACACTGTGAAGGACAGCAGGGAGAACTTCTTATATAGGAGAATAATAATGAAAGAAAAAAAGAAGTGTTATTAGATCACCTAAGCAAGAATATACATAATGATGAACCAAATACATTAAACAATAATAGGAAAGTGGAGTTGAAAAGGAAAAATGTGCTATGTTTCCTCAACCAGGGGAAGAGATCACTTGGTCAGGGGATAGAGGAGTGAAAAGTCCCCACCTTGCAGACTGGACATCTGGAGAACAGACGTTGAATTCATCCGTCCTTAGTATCAATTTTTCCTTCGAGTTAAACTATAGCAATCTTTATTTTGTATTTTACNCTACTGTAATGCATTTTACATTTCTCATTGTTAGTTCTTAGGTCTCTTAGTGCTCTCGGAACAGGAAGAGGCCTTTTCTATAGAACTGCATATAGTAACTGTAGATATTTGAATATTGAATAGTGAAATGGTGTTTGTATAGTTGCATTCATATAGTATTTATTGGACAAAAATTACATTTTAATGTTATAAGCATAAAAGTCATATTAATAGATATGTGGGTCACTGGTAATCCAAAAATTCAATTTGACATTTTTTTTTTTATGAATTATACAATATGGTAGCAAAATTAATAAAATTGTGTATGTGTAATATGTTTATTTTTAAATATATATGTCTTATTTGTGAAAAATTATAAAAAAAGTTTTTTACTTATTAAATCTAATAACTGACTTTTACTACATAAAATAGTAAAAACTCATTAAAATTTACTGAACACTCTAGTAAATAAATTATCACTAGGCAGAGAAAGCTATGCACATGATGTCCTGAAGTTAGATGTAGTAGAGTCAAAAATAAACTAAACTTTTGGCATAGATATTATTATACAACACACAGAAACTATTATACCATACTACTATCAAAATAAGCTCTTCCTGTACTTACACACTTCTGCCAGCATTCGTGCCACTTTTGAAAGCAGTTACGAATTACAAGCAAAATATATTGAATAAACAGTTTTGTAACAAGTCACAAGCTACACATTTTTTACAAGCTACTAGTCAGATGCAATTTTAGTTGCATAGTTACTTAAAATCAGTAACAAGTTACAAGTACTTTTACAGGCTACAAGTTTAAGAAAACTCTACTTCATAAAATTTGTTGTAACAAGTTACAAGTAATACTTGTATACAAGAAAAATTAGTTATGTTACAAGTATTTTATTACGAATGTACAAGAATTTGTTTCAAAAACATATTAGTTTGTCTATTTACAACTGCTGTATTTGTAGTTTTAATAAAAATTTCTATCATCATTTGTTGACTCATAAAGTGATTACAAGTTTCATACTTATTGAATTCTCATATTTCAATCTATGTATTAATTGAATGAAGGTTTCATTTTGTCTGACTTAGTATTAGTAAATGGCCAAGCTAAAAATATGGTTCAGGTATCAAATTAAAGTTCTTACCATGTAGATGATGCTGCTGAAGAGATCTGAGAAAGGTACTGTACAATGGTTCAGGTGTGAAGTGGTAAAGTACAACATTAAGTTGTAATGTTGTACTTTTACCATTTAATACTAACATGTCAAGTGTTAGTGCACCATCTAGATATTTAATTTTTTTAATTTTCTTGCTTCTTTTGCTAATTTTGACTTTTTGCATTTTTTTTTAACATTAATAAAATTAAGGATTACTTTTATTTTTTCATTGATTTACCATTAAGTGTTTAATACAATGTCATTATAAACATGTTAATCTTCTGCATGCTTTTTCTTTTTTTTTTTTTTTTTTTTTTTTAAAAAGCAAGACTTTTATAAAAAGAATACATACAAAAATCCATTCATTGTAAACTTTACTATGAATACATTCTTTTGTAATTTTTTAAAAATATTTTTTCAAATTTAATGAATGAACTTTTTACATGAGCCATTATACAACTTATACTTTTAAGCAATTTATTTTTATATACAACTCAATTTTTTTAAATTCATCTTTATATACATAACATTTTAAATTTAATTTAAAATAATAAATTATTCAAATATATATATTCGAATAATTTTAAAATGTAGTTCCTAAGATTGTGTACACACGATAACATCCGTCCATTTTTGATTATATAATGCGAATGTGTTATGCCACACACCATTAAGGTTAGGTTGCAGTTAACGAGATCTCTTTTAAGTTGTTAGTTAAAAGATGAGGCTCGTAATAACAAACAGAACGTACTCATTGTTAAAGACATTTAAAGGAGAAAGTGTATTTTAGAATCATGTCCATAATTCGGTCACCTGCTGTCTAGTCAAGCTAGTGAAAATAGGCCGGAAATATGAGTCATGACATATTGTAGGCACAGCTGTTGCATTCCTTATCATCTCGACAGACCAGGTGCAGAAGATCGCGCTGGGATGCTATCGTTTGCCATGATTGTCGCTGGAAGATCTTACAGAGATGCTATCATCATTTATTGTGGTGAAATTACTAATCTCTTAATTCAACGTTCATTATTAAAGATGATAAATGTTGCTCTAGATGAAGAGATATAACATTTTTTTTTTTAATTAAACGAAATTACTCCTCTAATTAAGATAAACAGTTATAGCTAGGAGATTAGGCAGTGCTTTTTCTTAATTATCTAAGGTTTATTGCTTACGAACATGCAGAGATTTGAGCTTTAATCAGAATTTTTTTTTTTATGAAAGAGGGAGGAAAAAACAGATTCAACTTACATGACTCTACTCAACAGGTACTTATCTGGCTGGAAGTAATGACACCACCACAATAACCTATCATGTCGCGTACATATATTTAAATTCAGAATGTAAACTAAACAACAAAAGTATAGAAGTAATAAAATGTAGAATAAATGAATTTTTTTAAACGAATATATTTACATTATTATTATTATTATAATTGTGGGAATTCGATAAAAACACGAATACTATTGTTCGTATAGAAGGTGAATAACCTTTATATCAAATTACTATAAAAGTTGTGACTGTGGAATTTCTTACACACAACTCTATTATGACTCATCCCCACACCTGCAAGAGGAGAGAGAGTGCTGAATGGAAGTTGAGTGGCCTTGAGAAGAGGTCACTGTCTATGACGAGTTTATAGATCCCGTTAAAAATACAATACAAATTAATCGTTCACATTGCATAGATTTTTCATCGTTTACACGGATAATCTTAATTTTCTAACCCGTTCTACTTTACTAGGAAGTGTAAATTATCGAATAATTATAGGTTAAACGCCGAGAGTTAATGGGAAAATTATGGTTTTTCCATTAACTTTTCTGTTTATGTAGTGTAGTAGGTGTAACGCCATGTTAGTATACGTGTGTTGCTAACATAATGGACTTTTTGTTCCCAGTTAGGTGGAAATGGTTGCGTTCTGCTCTACTTCAACCGCGAATAATTCACGACTAGTTGAAATTTTGATAATTGCTCAAATGTGCGTATATATATATGTGCCAATTATTGTTTTAAAAATAAATTAAAATTCGTATTTCCTCTTTCATATTAGGAAATTACATAAAGAGAGAGAGAGAGAGAGGAAAAAAAAGGTTAGTTTCTTACGTTTTGATAGAGTAATATTTTATAATTACTATGGCGGAATTTTTAAGGTGGCACACCTAAACTTGGCCCCTACACAAAAAATAATAATAAATAAAAAAGGAAATGCGACATCGCCCATTGAGCTTTCCTTTGTGGCACACCTCAATGTCTGTCTGCATATTAAAATTATTTCATATTAACTTTAAAATATCATAATCGTATTAAGTTATTACATAAAGTTACATTTCTTTTATATGTTACAATAAAATTAAGAATATTAAATAAGTCTAATCTTTAGAAAATCTCCCAAACAACTTTTCAAAAGAAACTTATACTAGATTTCTGTAGTAAGATAACCTAAAGAATGATCTATAATTTGCTATATTAGAGTAAATTTAATAGTAAATTATCTTGATAGTTCTTAGAAATCAACATATACATATTGAATGGGGATAGTTGAAAAGATTGTAGCGGAAGTAATCGTTGGACGAGAGCCATAACTGCTAGACACACGGCAATGACCTACTTTTGGTTGGATTGTGGAAAACGTCTGCTACTTTACACTGTAATATGATGTAAGAAGCGTATCTACTTCATCTTGTGTATATAAAGTAATATATAGATGATTTTCCAAGTCAAATTTTCCATTTACGTAATAACCACTGTGGTTATATTATTATAGTGTCAGTTAAGCAATTACAGCCATGATATGACAGCTTAAATGCAAATTGTGACAGGTTAATGTTCGGATGACAAATTTGTTCTAGGAATAGTGTTGAATGTAATCTAAATTTGGATAGACTTATAAAGTTAAACATCTTATAATTCTTTTTTAAATTAAATATTTTGCAATGTGTTTTTCTCCAGCCAAACCTTATGCAAATAAAGTTAACGACATGATAATTTTTACAATTATCTGTTAAAAATTGTACTAGGATTTTCGGTGTTCAGTTTTAATATTGTTTTCGTCACCTTAAACTAACCTTCCACATAAATTGTGATGTTGTGAGCTTGAAGGATGACGGCTGGAAGTTGATAAACGGTTTTCTTCATATATCTCCAGCAAATTTAGGGAACTATCGAAGAGGGGAAGGTTGAAAATAAGGAGCCCGAAATTCCTATCCCGTTTAACCTTTGAGGGCATTAAACTCTCTCGAGAGGGTTATCTTTGACCATAATTGTGAGATATCTAACTCGACCTCTTTATTTATCTTTCAGATAATGGAGGAAGACACGATACCGGATGGGACCCTCGATATAAAGGAAACGAGACCCTCTAGCCAAGATTTTTCCAAATGTAGCACCGCTGAGGATTTTTGGCCCCCGACGTCGTTCGATGGCGAAAAACCCAATCAATCTCGCATCCGTCGAAATAATTCCTCTCCAGAAACCTGTCCACAACCAGCTGCAGGCTCAAATCTGACTCGATCTCATTCCTTCATTCGTCGGAATGTATCTTCTCCTTCTCTCAGGAGCTTCGATACCAATGATGGAACAGTGAAATCTAAATTGCTGAAAGCCTCAAGGTTATCTTCTAGCAGGAGTGCCATTCATCTGTGGAAATTAACAGAGGTGAGTCGCTATCTTTAGGTGATGTCCCCCATAATGACCGTTTTTCTCTATAATTATTTACCAGTTGACTTACATATTTAATCATAAATTCATTAATGTTGTGTAACGGAAATTTAAAATTCTGATAAGTTGAATTTTGAAATATATTTTGTGGGTGTAAAAGTGAAAAGACGTTAATTAAAATTCATTCTGTGTATTTATATGACAGATCCTTTACGTGATGTGGGAGAAGAATGCGTACATTTCTTTGTATTGTGGGAAATTCCCATTTATTTTTGAATTTAAATAAATTTTCTCTTTTATTTTCTAATATTTTAATTATGAAAAAATTATTACTGAATGATTTATATAAATAAAAGAAGAAAATTTTATAGGGTACTTGAAAATTCTTCAGTTAAAATGTGATACTTGGTGAACTTCATACTATATTTAATTTTCGTAAAATGATCGTTTATAAAAAAAAAAGAAATTAAGATAATTAATAAAATCTTTTAAAATTCTTAATCTTTGTTGATTTTAATGAATTTTACGCTAATGCGCTACATTTAACCATTATCGATTAGCATACCAGAAAGGAAATTGATTTTTGGTCCACTGCAGCTGTTATAACGGAAGACGTTAATTTCCATTATAAAAAAAAAAGAGCATTGCTTCCAGTGCAGATTTAAATTTCGTCATTACCGGTTCTGAAAAACTACTTGTTTATGTTCTAAAAGACTACTTTTTCGCTCTTTTTTTTTTAAATTCCGTTCGAGGCCAGGAACTACACATGATTTAAATCTCCCATGCCACACCGTATGACGTAATTTCCTGTCAAAATTTATACTGCGAGGAACCCGTCACGCAACGTACATCCCTCTCCATCTGTGCATGATTCATTGCAGTTTATCATCTGATGCAGCGACTAATTGATGAAGAATTAATGTGTTGAATGGATATTAACTGATCGTCGCAAATCACGTGCTGGAATTTGAATTTTTGTAGAAGGTATCGATTTGTTTGACGTCACTGCAAATCTACACCTGCATTCTTATAAGGCAGGTGGCATACGTATAAATGACCGCACACACTGACATTCTTTTTTATTTATTATTATTATATTTTTTTTTGGCTGCAGGGATCGCTTTATGCATACTTTAGATGTATTTGCATACAATGGTTTTTGCTATTCGTGGCAGGGTGCACCTGTCCTGTAATGCGTGACGGATACTATAAACAATGTATAACGGGTTCCGAGCATTTATCAGCTTGAAAAAAAATACACGCAAGTTATATACTAACCGAAAGAAAAGATTACAATTAAATTCGTTCAATTATAAAATAAAATTGAAGTGCAAGTTGAGCAGAAAGTCGTTTTTCGAAGCGAAAATTTCATTTCACGCTTGTGATTTTTGCAGAATCATTCATTTTTGTAAAAGACAAATTACTTATTTAAATATTGACTTATATATCCGGTTAAGTATCTTAATTTTCGGACCAAAATATTACAGTTGCAATGCACCCGCTTTCAAGTTTAACAACAACAAATTCCAGCTTAAAGGAGATGAATGTCGACCTATGAACCCATCTAACAGCTGTCGGCTTTTCTGTCCTTATATTATAATGATATTCTACACTCTGATGCCTGTACTTAATCTGAAAAGCATATCATGAGATAGAATAACTTAGAAAAATTCCACAAGTTGCATACTTACCTTGATTATATTGTTAATTTTACAAGAGTATTTCTCGAACGAGTTTCGGTACAATAAATTCCATTGGAAATTACTGAACTGTACATAATTAATACATTCTGTAATTATATAACTCCAATAGATTTAACATAATTCCATCTTATATTTACATTATTAGACCGATATAGAATCGTGCATTCCCAAATGAAAGGAGGAAAGTGGTAGACAAGAAAATCTTCTGTAATGATTTCAAATGATAGAGAATTACGGTTTGTAATGTATTGTAGTGACTAAGCCGGGCATCGACCTTGGCCTCCCATTCTGTCAAGGCCGAGTCTAATTTTAGTTGGTCTAAACCACATGCACAAGGTCGTTTGTAGCGAAGAAAATCGAAGTGACAGACCTCCTATATACGTAAATACTATATTTCCTTCATAGTTTTCAATCAAATTTTACACTTTACCAATTGCAAGTGACGAAGGCCCCGAAGATTCTAACATTGGATCTTCACTTACATTGTTGCTTTTGGTACGAAAGTGAGAAAGTTAATAATTTAATTTTAACAAATATATAAATTGAGAAACCTTATTGTACAATCGGAGATAACTCGTATTTAATGAGGCACGCATACTTCACAATTCGATTTGTACAAGGTTGGAAAGGTAAATTTAGAAGAAAATTGTTGATTTAATTTAGATAAGGATCATTTATCTTAAATTAAGAATACTAATTGAATTGATAATCTTTATTTTTAAATAAGGACATTAAATGAATGATAATCTACTCGATTAATTTTGTTGTTAAACAAAGCTCTAAACTTAATGGTTCTACTTAATTTTCTACAGTCTTAAAAAAGACGTTAGAATCGTGTTATTTCTATAATTTATTTAAATTTTATTGATGAAATATTCAATAATTTCTAAACTTTCTATAAGATTTGAATATAACTGAAGATAATAAACGGAGATTGGAATAAGTGAAATCTTAGGAAATTCAGTATTGTATCTACAATATTCTAAATTTAAATTATGTAAATTAGTTTCTTTTTATAATTAAATTAGTCAATTTATATCCAAATAGTAATGGCCGTTGTTTGGAGGTTGTTTTGTATACATTTCATAAAGAAATACGGAAAAAATGGCCGCCGTTTAGAGGTGACCGTTATTGCAAGTTCGACTGTAACAGGAAAATTTCATAAAGGAAAAGTTAACAGGAATTGATTGCCAGAAGGAATCTTTTTAGACCTAATTTAATAGTAGAAAGTTCTAAACAGGAATTAATATTTTTTTAAAATATAATCTATAACGTTTCTTCTATACGTTTGTGTCGTTTAATTGCACGATATGTTTATTATTGTACTGCTACTCGTGGCGTAATTACGCCATTGTTGCTAATTTGTAGGAGATAAAAGATAACAGAGTGTTTTTCATTCATTACAGTCAAGGACGACCTGTATCATATTTTGTATAACGGAAATAGAAAATATTCGAAAAGTTAAGATAGTAAATAGAGCGACATATAGCCTACATAATGTATATTAACCTCTGAACAACTTTTTCTTCCTTTCACTATGCGTTTATCCTGAAATATTTGACAACAAAAATTATATTATCTCATCAAATATTTTTCATTGCATTCGTAGAAAAACGAATAAAATCTTTGTTAATTATCTTTCGTTAGTCTATTGTACTGAGAAATTATTTTTCCAATTTGTTTCTCATGTTCTCGTAGATCATCTTTCCATTAATCGGTATGCATTACAATAGCCGAGTTATAAATAGAAGAAAAATATTATAAAATAGTGATAATATTTAACAGTTATTCTTAGAAGTAACTTAGAACAGGTAAGAAGAAGTTTAAGGAAAGTTGACTATCTTTAGCTTAATTTATTTCTACTTATTAACAATCGATGTTCTCTAGTGATATTTCCTTAACTAACTCTCGTAATTATCTACGTGTAATTAATATTAATGGAGTCGTATGCTTTCAGAGACCTAGCGAAGTAGCCATCCGTACAGAATCCGCCATTGGTTCTCTTTACGAACCATTCGAAGACGTCAAGATCCAATTAGTGAGGCAAGCTAGAGAAGTATTGTTATGTCGATATCAAGGAGATTATTGGAAATTCTGTCAAAGGTTCTTGCAACCCGTTTCTCTTCTACTTAATGAATTGAAGTCCAAAGTAAGTTCCTCTCTTTGTTTTAGCGATAATTAGCAATTCTTTTTATATTCCAATTTCCTAAAGAATCTTGTTTTAGTAACGGATTTTCGGCTATTTTTTTTTCGTGTAAAAAATTCAATTAATTATTTTTTAATTCAACTAAATATACCAACTTAAAATAGATTAGAAATATATTTTTATGATTATTTTTAAAAATTCTATTAATTCTTTAATAAAATATATAGAATTTTTGTTTTTTCTGGAGCTGTTTGCTCAGCTTCAATTGTGGTGACTCATGCAATACATCTGTTTAACTACAGAAAAGAAACGTGGAGGGGGGAATAAATGTGGCTCCATCTATAGATAACATTCTGTACAATTTCAACATCGGTAAATCGGGGTGTAATATATTAAAATAGCTTTTTTTTTTCGTACGCGCTCTCTTTCATATCGCACCTCTTCCGTCGCATCGTAGATTCCGATTGTATATGGCGACCGTATTCTACAGCTGTTTGCGATGTAAATAGCCTGCAGCAACGATATCGCATGTGTCTCTGGTAGATAATTACACCCAATCTGTGTAGCCCTTCGGATGGACTGACTAACCGACTATCCTGACCTACCCGAGTGCCTTACTGGTCTGGGTCTGGTCCACCTTGGGGTCAAAACGTGGCTCTTTTAAACTTAGCGCTCTCATTTGGGTGGAATCTAGCTATTCGAGATAATAAAACAGTTCAGAATCTGGTTTACAATCGAGCCTTTTAGTCCTACTCTCGAGTTATTATCTAAAAAGCTCNTGAAAAGTCCCCACCTTGCAGACTGGACATCTGGAGAACAGACGTTGAATTCATCCGTCCTTAGTATCAATTTTTCCTTCGAGTTAAACTATAGCAATCTTTATTTTGTATTTTACATATTAATATGGTATGCATAGTATTTAAGTTAAAACATAAATTGATGTTTGTAAACGGTCTACCCTCCTACCTCCTAATTTGTGAAAAAGCAAAATAAGAAACAATTTTTGTTGTGTACTTAATGAAAAAATGTAAGTGTTTTTAGTGTTTTTTGGTTTGTTTCATTTAATGTAATATAACATAGTCATGTTTTAACACTTTTTGTTTATTTGAACTAGCACTGAAGAGGGGTTGGAGTATATTATACCAACCCGAAATATATTTGTAGTTCAATGAAAAATAAAAGTTAAATTTGCTAACCAGAAATTGCTGTAAGATACGTCTACCAAAGCATGTGTTTTGGATTACAGAGATGAATTTACATTGTTAATATAACATACAGCAAACCAACTATATATTAAAAAACTAGTTGAAAATTTACAACTTGTAGAAGAATTTGAAGGCTTAGAGAGACTGTTGAAATCTGTACAACCCACATTACAGGCAATTAGAGCAAATATTAACAAACAGAATTTTAATGAAACAGAAAAATCAAAAAAGAAAAACATTAAGCCTCAACAAGGATTTACTTCCAGTAAGAAGAGGAGAAAAGATGTTAAAATTACCAGAGTATTATCAAGAAGAACAAGAGCACATTGCTTTGAATTAATGAATTCTGAGGGGCATTCTGCTTGGAATTCTTAAATGCTGTTTTAAAATTTCTCTGCAAGGATGTATAACATATAATAGGCTTTTTAATCCAAAGCTTTTAAGAAATCTTATTTTACTACTGTAAATCCTAGGTATTTGGCAGTTCTGATATTTATGTGAAAACTTTAATTATTGAGTAATGATAAATGTACATTTGAATTGTAAACTTGTTAATTTATATACTTGGAATTTAATGATATTAAAATTTAATTATTTGTGCTTATTATTTGATTTGGTGTTTTCTTATTTATTTAACTAGATTTTTTTGTAGTAATTTGTTTTCTGCTAACATTATATAATATTAGATCTCAAATATTACTTCAATGGAAATGAATGAAAATGAAATCATGAATACAGAGGCTAAATGAAATCAAACCTCTATAGCATTGTATTATAGTATAATACCAGTTTTTCAACATTGACATTCCTCATTTTAGTTTATTGTTTTATCAAGGATAGAACTGGATTCCAACAATAGGGATGATGTCCATACCATACCCACTTGACATTTTATTTATTATAAAAATTACATCTTGAGATTTCATTCTATCTGCCATTATGGGATGGAAGAATGTTAAATATGTTACTATTTAATGTTGAAAAATATTGCATGTAAGGAATTATACTGCAAATATGTAGTATGTTATAATTTGTTTAGAAAATAAATGTTTAGAAATTGCAAAGTTGTAGTTATTAAAGAAAAACATGCTGAGTAGTTCCCCCCTAACAAATATTACATCCCCTCCACCTATAATTGACTGAGTGAGTGGAGTTTTAGTCTTGAACACTATCTTTTTCTCTAAGTATCCATTCCAAAATAATAATAGAGAGGTTGAGGTGCACGTTTTAAACGTGTAAACGTGTACGTGTGACGTTCGGCGCCGCTTTCCCGTAAGCCTAAAAGTTTGACAATGGTGTTTGGAATGTCGAGCGTGATTCCACCGACTATCCAAACACCATTGTCAAACTTTTAGGCTTACGGGAAAGCGGCGCCGAACGTCACACGTACACGTTTACACGTTTAAAACGTGCGCCTCAACCTCTCTAATATTCAGACAATATGATGGTTGTGTGTCATGTGAGTAATGAATTTATAATTAATGCAAATAGTAATATTTTTTAGGCTGTATGAGCCACTCACTCACAAATCAATTAACTCCAAAAAACAAAAAGTATAAATATTGATAATATAAATTATTTTTTAAAATTCCTTTTAAACTTTAAATTTAAGTAAATATTGTAGAATGTATTTTTATATATTGTTATATTAAAGCTATGCTTTAATATGACAATATAACAATAATATAACAATATACAAAAAAATGTTTTATTAAAGCTATGCTTTAATATAACATTTTTTTCTTGTAACTAATTTTATATATTAAATTATATTAAATTTTATATATAAAATTAGTTACGAGAAAAAAACTGTAAAAGTAATAACGATTATATTAAGGATTTACAAATGGAGTTAATTGATTTGGCCTGTGTACGGCTCATATATTTGTGCATATTACAGAATGTTCAATTACTACTAATAATAGCACTTCTCTCAGTGGGAAAATATCAAATTTTAAGTCCTCCTATGTTTTGTTTTATTTGTAATTCCATCTGATAATCTTACAATATTAATTTTTTATAGAATAATTCATTTTTAAGCAAGATGTCTATTCATAAATTTATTTTATTTTTACTGTTAACTAATAATTTCGAACAAAACATTTATAATTTATAATTATGAATAGAAAACACAAGTATTGTACTGGTATATTTTAAACCACACGAACTACATTCCATTTTATTTAATTAAAGTGTAGTGAGTTCAACATTGACAATATGATAAACAAATGATAAGCATATAGTGCAGTGCACTCCATTTTAACCAAAACTGAACAAAGAGAAGACCATGTGTAACTATGACCCGAAACTGACAAAACCAGTTCTTGCAACTGGCGCTGTTTGCCATAGTGGTATAATTTAGAACTAAGATTTACCAAGGCTCTAGACCAGTGTTTTTCAACCGGGGTGCCACGATTGGGGTGTCGCAAAGTTTAGGTCCTTTAGGCATTTTCTTGGAAATTTATTTAAGTTTAATTCAAGATAACTCATTGTCAGTTCTATTTTGCTACAAGATATCTAGTAAGCAAAGAGACAATGAGTAATCGCATGTTAATGTAATGTTCTACGCTACGTGTACGTACGACTTGTCACAAGTTTGCCCAAACCACATTGCTTGGCCTTCACATTTCCAGTCCCAGTACCAGGCCAACCAGCAGAGAACGACGTGGACACTTGTGTCTTGTATATGCTTTAAAAAGCGTTACATTGTACTTTGAAAAGCGCACAAAGTAGGTGCATATTACAGTATTTTCACCGTATTCAAAAGCAATGACGACAAATAAACAATTTTTTATCATTTTTTTAATTTAAATTTTTTAAATTGATATGAAAAAGATAAGAAAAAAAGCAATGAAATATTTATTTTATATATGCATCAAAGTAGTATAAAAAACTCAACAAAAATTGTTTATCAATAAAATAATAATATAAAATGATGATATATTTGATAATAAAACTAGATTTAAAAAACAATAGTGAGACTATTATGTTATATGTAGGTATTTTGACAAAATTCAATGGACTTAAATTTTGATTTTGAACATGTAGAAACGCTTTTCTTTTTTTCATTAAAATGCTACTTCCAACTGTCAATTTTTAAAATTTTTCTTTCCTGGGAGGGGACTCCCTTCCTGGACCACATCGTAATATTCAATTTCTCAAAAAATTCATCTGGTCCATTAGTCTCCCCCTTATTCAGATTCTAGATCCGCCACTGGTCAAGGGTGTCACGATTTTTTATTTTTCAATCAGGGGTGCCACTCAATAAAAAAGGTTGAAAAACACTGCTCTAGACACTTGTTCAAGTTTCCAATTAAGGTGTGGCTGAGTATTATTATGTATTACAAAGCTGCATCCTACTGAGTTGTTAATACGAGACCTGTCTGTAAAAATATTGATGTTAGATGATTCACTAGTGTCGTGTATGTCGGTTGTATTTTCATTGGGAGGAAGAGACTCGTGAAATGGGATAAGCCATTCAATTACAGCATGATGAAATTGAATGGCAAACCTACTGACATTTTCAACCAAGGCCAAAAACGTCAGTAGGTTTTGTGTCAAATACAACACTGATAAAAAAAAAAAAGGTTTTGTTTGTGGCTAATTAAATGGATTAATCCATTTATATTGTTTCTTATGGAAAAATTTGTTTTGGTTTCCGAACAACTTTTAGGAACAAATTAAGTTTGTAAACTGAGGTTTGACTGTAATTGGTCAAGTTACTTTATGACTGCCCTGCATATAACAAACAATCTTAAAATAATGTATCATTTAGAATTAATATTTTTGTTAAAATTTAGTTTTAAATGATGTAAGCATTATATAAAATATTTTGATTTTTTTTGTTGTGGATTTATTTGTTATAAAAAATATTTATGTAAGAATATACAGGGTGGACCACTTTAATCAATTCTGTTGAATAGCTCAAAAAATATGCATCCTAGAAAAAAATTATTAAACCAAAAACATTACACTTTAAGGGAACCACAAGATATGGCTATCAGTTTTATCATAGTTAACATTATAATCAGTGAAAACGAGGTCAAATTCATTTTCTTAAACAAGATTCTTCTGTATTATTAATTAATGAAAATAGTGTTCTGTATATGTATCCATATTCCATTTGCTTAATGAATTACATCAGTTACATGGCATTTGACATATTTTACAGAATAATGTAAATCTCAGATAATTCGAAGTCACAATTATTTCATAGTAACAAAGCTCTCCTGTATTTGATTTCTGGAGTTTGAATGTGCTTTTAGTACTGATTTTAGTAAGTTCTGCTTTTATTTGTTTATTTTTTTTTTTGTGTGTTCAATTAGTTTAGCCTGTTGAAACCCCAGATATCTATAGGTTCCTCCTTCCTTCATAGTGTTATGTAATCTCTGCTGTCAAGTTTGAAGGGACCATCCTCAGCAGTCCCTTTTTCAATGTGCAATTTTTTACATTTATCTATGCCAAATTCCATCTGGATATCCTGGGAGAAAGTCTGTATAATCATCAGGAGTTGGTTTAGTTTTGTGCATGTGGAGTATATAGTGTTTTATTATCTTCCATGTAAAGAAGATATGAGTGTTATCTGTCTGTCTGTGTCAAGTCATGTCATACCCAATTTGTGTGTTAAGTGTAATGGATAGAAGATTAATGGCCATACAAAACCAGTGTGGGCTAATCACCCAAGAAAATACCTCATCTTATGGAATTTCATCTGTTACAATTTTAGTGTTAATAAAATAAAGATAAGTACAACTTAGTTTTCCAAAGTTGCATTATAATAGTTAAAAGTATGATTACTGTGGAATGTATCTTATACAAGCTTAATGTATAGTGTGGAACACTGTCAAAAGCTTTCTTGTTATTTGTGTACACAATGTGAAGGTTTTGTGTATTTGATAGGCATTTCTTAGTATTACTGAGTCAGTCAAGAGTTGCTTGTTACAGCTCACATGGTATTGGTGACAGCTTTCTTGCTGTTCTGTAAGAATGTTATTTTGTACAATGTAGGGTGGCATGTGATGTATCTGTATTGATTGAGATCTGTTAGATTATTTGATTTTGGTTTCAGAAATGTGATTATGAAAAAAGTATTATTTTTGTTTAGAATATAGTTGAAAATTGATTACTAATTTAATTTTTGAATTACATTCATAATTCTTTAAAAAAGAAACATACAAAATTATATTTCCGGTTGTTCTTTCAAGAATACAAATTCAGTATTAAATTTGATACAAACATCACAAATGCCTTAAATGCCTAATCTTAGATTAAGCATTTGTGATGTTATTAAATTACAAAAATGTTTAAAATTTTGATTTAAATTATTTATTAAATCTTGTAGATCTTTGTTATCCATATGTGCTCACAAAAAATCCAGGTGCATCAACCATAGAGATGCAGACAACTTGTCTACTGCATGGCAGTCCGTTTATGAAATTTAATTTTATTAAGGAATATTTATTCGTTTATTTTTACTTTTTGTTTTATTTCTGTAGTTATTTATTTTATTAACCTCAACTAAGATTACAATTACTGTTGTTTATTTATTTTAGAATTCTTTGTTCTATTTTTCTGTTCTATCGTAACTGAAGAAAGGAAACTGGCTGAAAACATTATTTTATTAAATTCATTGCTGGATTTTAAAGGGTGTGATTTTTTTTTTTTTAGTCAACTATAATAATAAAAATAATTATTATTTTTCAAAAGTACAGTAAACTCTTTATTTGCCAAAAGTCTATTAAGTTGAATATGTTTTAAAACATATATTAATGATAACATTTTAACACATTTTAAGTTTGTTACAATGAATAAGTATGAATAAAATAATATACTGTATTTTGAATTTATACTTATTGAATCATTGATTAAACCTATTAAGCATGTAATTTTTCTCAATAAAAATGATCTTAAATTTTTCCTATAAGAAATATTGAAATTAAGCATTTGTTGGTTTGATATTCATGTAAATCCATAAAAGTTTGTTGAAGGAAAACAAGGCTGTTAAATTTGATTTAATGAATCAATAAAATATGTATACATGTAATTTTAATTAGAATACAGTAATACCCCAAACTTACGCAATAGGTGAGACCGAGCGAAAATCGCGTAAGTCGGGGTATAATTTTGCATATAAATACAGTAGAGCATTGATTATCCGACCCCCGATTAACCGTCACATCGATTAACCGACCGTTCTAGTCAGCAAATTTCAAACGTCTGCTAGTGATGTGGCATTACAATATTTGGCTATGTCTTGGCTACTTTAATATTATTTTTGTTAAATTTTTGCGTGTTTTAGATGGCATCAACGGCTTGACCATTGAAGGGAGGCCAGTATTTAAACGAGACTTAATTTTCTAATTATGAGTGGTTGTTTGTTTCGTGAGCAATAAAATAATTTTAAAATAATTTTTAATGATACAATAGCGACGTTTATTATTATTAAAAAAAAAAAAAAAATTTGTTAGGCTAAACATTGATGAAAATTCAACGCAAAGTTGGTTAATAGTGATATACTAATAAACTAATTACATGGGATATACTAATATCCTAATATACTATACTAATAATGTATTTTTTTCCCTTCTTTTCGGTTATCCGATTTTTTCAGTTATCCGACCAACCTGAGTTCCCAGTTGAGTCAGATAATCGATGCTCCACTGTACGTATAAATAATTTTTAATTGGGGCCAGAGACTAAAAAAAGCAATAATTTAGAAAAAAATGTTTAACAAAATCTTAGATAATACATATGTATAACATATTATATTATTATACAATTTTTCACAATTACTTGATTATCACACCGTAATTTTAACACTGTTTCCATCTCAGTGATAATACCGTGATGTTTACGAATGATGCTTGAATTTAAAGATTGAGCATTTTTCGCAGCTTCAAGAATTTTTTCTTTGCCTTTTATAATTGTTCTGACCGTCGATTCCGGTAGATCAAACTTCTTTGCAATTCACAAATTTTCATTTTTGTATCTGAGTCAGTCAAGAGTTGTCTCAGTCAAGTCTTTACTAATGTTAACTTTACATTCCAAAGATAAAGTTTTTCTTTCCTTGTTTGATGCAGAAGAATCAGTTCTACTTCGTTTGGATGACATAGTAGAGTCTCTCAAATATCCATAGATAAAACAAACACAGAAATAAATAACACAAAATAAATTGTAGCTATGCGTCGATTCCACACAACATTTCCGAACATGTAAGCCGAAGAATAGTGTGGGGGGAGTGAGTAATCAAGAGCTGCGTGGTGCTCAAACAAAAGACGAATCGGCGAGATTTGAAAATCGCATAACTCCAGGCTCGCGTAAGTCAAGGTATTACTGTAATTGAAATGTATTACTGCTGCATTATACATCCAAAAATGTTAGTGTAAATTTAATTTTGAATCATACTAAATTTATTTTCTTTACATTTGCACTAATATATTCTTTTTTAATACTTTAAGTCAGGGGTATCCAATAAATAAATAAATAAATAAAAATTTGTCGGTTTTGTTTACACCTTTATTATTTATGCCATTGAAATAAATAAACTCAAAATGAAGTTTCACAAAGCTTTAAACCTTTATACATATTTTATTTTTGAGTGGAAAGGAAATATTTTCAAATACTTGGAAATGTGTGAATGAGGAAGGAATACTAAATACAGCTGGAGTTGTGACTCAAGGAATTATAGACTCAAATTCAAGGAAAGGAGAGAAAGGCCAAAGATAAAAAGTAGTGAGAAAGGTTAAATAGACCTTCTGTTATGCAAATATTGACCTTTAATTTTCCAACCTTCTTCACTTCTTTATCTTTTGTCCTTTTGCTCCTTTCCTCACGTTTGGGTCTATAGTCCTTTGAGTCCCAACTCCAGCTTTATTTAGCATTCCTTCCAGCATTGCAAGATTTAGCTATCCTTTTTTTAGTTTGTAAAAAAATATCATTTGGCACATTGGCTACTTTTTGGGCTACATATTATTTATAAATATATCAGTCAAATAAAAATACACTTTAAAATGGTGTTTCATCATTTTTTTTTATTAATTAGAGATCCAAATAAAATAAATATTTGTTTTTTTCAAATAAATTTTTGTTTGTCTCCTTTATAATAAATGAATTTATCTGTTTCTAAGTAAAAATTGAAAGTGTCTGTAGAAGTAATTTTTTAAAATCTTTTTTCATGATAAAGTTAAAAATTATTATTATAATCTAGACATGTTAATCACATGATGGGCCACAATTATATATAATATACTTGTGGCCCAAAACTCTATGACTTCTTCCAGTGTGGCCCAGAGAAACAAAAAGGTTGGACACCTCTACTTTAAGTGCTAAAACTGATTTTTGTTTCTTCATGGAAAATGTTGAAAGGCTTAATAGATTTATAATAATTATTCATTGAATATTTTAATATCTTAAAAATAGCAAATTTTATGCAATAATGTTTAATATATAAAATATTGAATCATTTTTTTTTTTCTTTTCTTTTACAGAATATATTTATGAATATACATATTAAGAATAAACATTGGATTTATACACATGGAAGAATTTTAGTATGTTTAATGCATCAAAATTATATTTATGCATTTAAATCTAAAAGACTTTATTTATTTTTTGAAGAGATGATGTGCAAAATTTGGAAGAAATGTGGCCAGATAAATGTGTAAACCAATCTAGTATTTCTAAAACTGTCACAAAAAATAAATCAAAAAATTTGCTTATTAGTAGTAAATATGATGGTGATGATAAAACATGTAATTCAAAAAAAGATCATCACGTAAATCAACATAAAAATGAAATAAATGCTTCTAGTGAAAATTTGAAATCGTGTATTGCACAAAGAGTATCAGATATATTTTGCAAATCAGAAAATGGTGATGAATCAGGATTATCCAGTCAAAAAAATAAAACAAAAAAATTAAATGATGTATCTTTAACTGCATTTGTTCAGAAATGTGCAGATCCCATAGATGGAGAAATCTATATAAAGAAAACTTGTAATGAAGTAATTAAAAACAAAAAGTGTTCTACTGAATGTCCACAAGATGAAGATTCCACACCAAATAGTACCTCAACTGAAACAAATGTTCCTGTTAACAATGTATGTAGTATTGCTGATTCACAGATAAATTCTTCAAATGTTCCTCATGTTAATATCCCTCTGAAAACTGCAACACACAATGATTTATGTCAGCTAAGTACAAATGTGCTTCCTCCCTATATTCCCCCATCTAGTTCTACATTCCAGAAAAATCAAAACCAGGAAAAATTTAATTGTATAGATTGTGGTGATCAATTTATGTTAGAAACCAGTTTGAGTCGTCATTTGGAAAGAAGATCAGTGTTAGCAAAGCTCTCATGTGAAAGTTGTGGGAAATTATTAGTTTACTATAATCGTTGTGCCCTACTTGCTCATATCAGGTCACATCAAGAAAAGGGTGAGTGTTCTGATATAAGAAATGCTACTGTAGTGCCTCTTCCTAGAGAACTGATGGATGGATTTAGCTATTCTTCAACTTCGTCAACAGGAGAAACTATAATGACAGATAAGACTGATGATATACAAAGTACAGATCTACATAATTCATTGAAAAAATTTAGATGTCCAGAGTGCAATGTACTCATTGACAGTACTAAATCAAGAGAAAATCATTTTGGAAGTAATCATAATTTACCTCTTCAAGCAGCAATATGCTCTAAATGTAATATGACTTGTCCAACAAAATGTAGTTTAGTAGCACACCAGAGAATTCATCTTCATGGTCGTCCATATATTTGTCCAGAATGTGGGGAATGTTTTATTGGAACATGGGAGAGATTTCAGCATCATTTAAAATTAAAATGTTTGCATTTTTCACGTCTTGTAGGATATAAATGTTCATTATGCAGCATTTTATATGATTCTACCGATTTGCTTCAACTTCATATAATTGACATGCATTCAGAAGCATATTACAAATGTCAAGCATGTCCAATGGCTTTTAAAGCACCAGCAACTTTTGATACTCATAGAAAATCATCTCATCCTACAACAGATATCCAGTGCACTATTATTACAAAATGTCCACTATGTGATACTGTTTTTCATAGCAGAGAAATTTTACAAAATCACTTAGAAGCACACATAAAAGATCAACTTCATAATACAAAATTTGTTTTTAAATGTCCTGAATGTGATGAATTATTAGAAACTAAACCTTCACTCTCTTTACATATTCAGCAATTTCATCCTCATCTTGTTTCACAAAAAGTGTGTTCTCAGTGTGGTTTAACATTTTCATCATCAAGAGGACTTAAGGAACATACAAAAGATGTTCATCAAGGTCGTAATGGTCATTTTACCACAAAATGTGGTATGTGTCATCGTAAATTTCAAACTATTCATGGTTATAGAATTCATCGTCAAAGATGTCATGGTACTTTGACTTTAAGATGTGCTACTTGTGGTGAAACATCAGCTAATAAAATTGAATTAGCCTCACATGGTATGCAGCATTTGAAAGAAGGAATACACATATGTCTGGTGTGTAACAATGAAAAATATTCAGATAGCAATGCCTTATTGGCACATCTGCAACATCATGCAAAAAGCACAAAATATCCTAATCAGTGTCTACAGTGTATGCAAACACTGAATGATGCAAAAGAAGCTTTTTCACATTTAAAGGAAGAACATAAACTTACGGTTTTTCATTGTACAAAGTGTGACATTTCTTATGAAAGTTCTGTTCGTCTAGCCCGACATCAGAAGGTGATGCACGAAGAGTTTGGCCTGAAAAAACGGCATGTATGCTGGATTTGTAAAGAATACGGTTTCAGTAAACGTGCAATTTTGAAAAGGCACATTGTGAGTAAACATAGTATTCCCGAAGATGAGATTGATTTTAGTCAAGCACCACATCCACCAATCAAAATTCGCATTCCACTACTGGCAGTCAAGCGTCATTATAGCTGTGATGATAAATTGGGCTCACAAGATAGTCCCTTAACAAAAAAGTGTTTAAATGTAAACAAACAGTATATTTGTGCTAAATGTGATTTTCGTTCCTCAAATTCATCATCATTCAAAGAACATATAATAATTCACAAAACTGAAAAAGCATCGTTTCAATGTACAGAATGCGGATCTTGCTTTGTTGTAGAGCCATCCCTTAAAAGACATTTACTAATTGCTCATAAAATTCACGATGTTGATAGGTTTCTATCAAAAACAAATTTGACATCTAGAGTTTCAAGTGAATTTGAATGTAAAGTTTGCTTCCAAACATTCGAAAACAATGATCTATTGCAGACTCACCTACGGATTCATGGAATGGCTTTCATCCAGTCTACAAAATCTAGAACTGCAATGAGTAATCATTCATCATCCATTTCCTAGCATTTATTAGAAAAATAAAGTCTTTAACTTTACATTTAGTTAAAATAAACAAACACTCAAGAAATTATTTGACTTTAAATTATCCATGATCACACCAACCTGTTTAACAGGTTCCGTAATATTTTAGTTTTAGCAATATATTTTAACTATAATAAATGGACTTAACAATTCCTGAGAGGATTGATCTGAAAAATGTTCCTTGATATAATGGTATAAACATGTACTTAAATTTTTAGGGAAAAATTTATTTCTCTATTAAGCAGTTTACCATATAAAATAATTAATGTTTCATAATTTATCATATATTTATGTTTTAATTTATAAAAACTTTTCCAATAGGACATAATCTATCTGTTAGATTTATATCCAAAGTACCAACCACTGTCAGTGGGGTTTGTTCAGTTCAATTTTGTATTTTAAAATTAAATTTATTTAACAAATATTTCAGCAATAAGACTGCAGATCTCACTTTCTGAATTACGTTTAAAAAATTTCAATGTACTGTATTATTAGGCTGCTCTAATTGTTCTGATTAAAAATATATTTTGAATCACTGTCGACATTATTTGTTAACATCTAAAATGCTTTTACTGTATTGTTTTAATTCTAAGATGCCATCAACTGTAATGCACAAACATTTTTTATTAAATGTGTATCTTCAGTTTTAAATTGATAACCTACAACAACAACAAATTTATCCATAGAATTTCCACATGTGAATTTAGGTGACACCACCTGACTATACCCACAATCATACCAGTAAAAGTACATGGTTGGTGTATTTTTTGATGCCAATAATTATTGCATGTGGAAGCTTAGCTTGATACCAGGTTTATATATGCATGGTGCTAGTAAAAGAATTTCATGTTTAAACATCAAACATAAAAAAAACTTCAACCAACCTAAAATAAAACAATTTTTTACACCTTATAGTCCAGCAAAATTTATTCACAGTACAAATTAATATTTTAGTCTAACATAGTTAAACATTGACAAAATGTGTTCAGTGGCCTTCATCAGGTCTTCACAGTTTAAGCTCTAGAACCCAAATATTTAACCAACATTTGAGTTCCAATTTTTGAACCTTGACTTTCAAAACAAGACATTACATACATTGAAGTTACACTGTGTAGAATGTGCTGTTTGATAAGATATTTGGGTTCTAGAATTTGAATTGCTAAGACCTGATGAAGGACATTGAACATCTCCAAAACATTAATTTGTACTGTGAATAAATTTTGCTGGACTTGGCAAAAAAATTGTTTTAGTTAATCAAAATCAGTTGAAAGTTCAGTCAGCCTAAAATAAGTGAACATACTATTTATTTACACCCTGTAGTACTATTTCTGTACTCTCGTGAATACATTGTTATATGATATAGTATTGAAATGAGAATCTTTTTGAATTAAGAGTCTGAATTTTATCAAATTTACCTTTAGATTTATTCATGTAAATGAATAAAATGGCAGGACAAATAGATACAAAGGATGCATTCAGTGCTCAACCTCATCCACAAAGTTTCTAGATCTGCTTCAAGTTGGTCATCAAAAATTGAACAAGTCACACTGACTTTTCTGACAGTGTTCAAAAATTTTGGCTTGGTCAGAAAAGACTATCCAAAAGTACTTTCAAGGTGGTGGCATCGAGTAATGATTTAGTTATGTTAAACTTTTCAGACAAGTAGGAATATTATGGGTAGATACTTCACAAAATAGTAAGTATATCTAAAAATGAATTTTAAATTTATAAAATTATAACAATTATTTTCCCCACAATTCTCACTACTATTTCACTGAAAATTTTTTTTAATTATAATTAAACTACTACACTCTTTGGCAAAAATGAACAATTTACTTTCATTGTTCCTAACTTCAGATAACAAAGTTCTCACATTTGCCATTTTTAGTTCAGCCACATGTTTAATATGCACCAAATTACATCTGGATCAGATTATACATTTACTTGAATGCATCCAAAGTTTATTCATAAGCAGGTAATGATATTTATGTTATAAATTGCTCTTCTTGGTTGAAACTATGGAAGTTCCTTTTGATACTGAATATAAAATGTCAGTGACCAAGACATCTTGATTTTGGAGACATTTCAAAAATTAAGTAAAGCTGCCTAACTTTCCCGGCAAAAGAATTTTAAATTGTGTATGGTGCCATCTGTTATTTAAACAGATCATAGTTTTATCATAACTTTTTATATTATTAATTATTGAAAAATGGCAAAAGCTTAATTTTGAGGGTAGAGATGTTTATAAAAAACTGTAAATGCTAATGTGAAATCTTCATTAACTATGCTCCTCTATCTCCATTCCCTTGACCTTTAAGCACTAAATATCATCATTCAATTTTATTTTATTTAGAAAGTGTTGATTAGGTTATTCAAAAACATATTTGCTACTTCCATTTCATATAAGTTAACATAAAGAAAGGTCTGATAAGAAAATGACCAATAGAAAACAAAATACAATTTCATTAATTAAAAGTCGTATCACCAATAGAAAGTGTAGAGAAAAGGTAGTGACCTTTTATCTCTACACTCAACTGCAAATGAATAACACTATTCCTAGCAAAAATAATGTGAATGAAACAATGCAAACAGAAATTGTAACCAATAATACATCTAAATCTAACACGTGGCAACTTCAATCTTGTTACACTCTTGATTAGAATACTTCTCTCATAAATTGGGGAGAGAGAGAAACTGGTTACATCGAATTTTGTACATCAGGGTCACACTGAATTTACTCTATGTGGTAGCATATGAGACACACCCATTTTCCAAAAATACAAATACAGTAGAGCGTCGATTATCTGAATCAATTGGGGACTGGGGTTGTTCAGAAGATCGATATTTCGGATAACCGATTATGTACGAAAAAATATATTGATTTATCCCATGTTGAAATTTTTCTCCGTTGCGTGTCGCTTCATGTTGAATTTTCGTCAATGTTAAGCCTAACGAAGACTATTGTATCGTTAAAAATTATTTTTTTATTTTGTACGAACAAAATAAGTATATTGCAAAATATAAAAACAATAAAAAAATTATACTTCAGAAGTTAATTTAGTATCAAAAACGTAAAATATTTGAGTAGCCCTAGACATAGCCAAAGATTGCAGTACCACAGCACTGGCGAAAATTTAAATTTGCCGACTGGAATTCTTTCGGATGATTGACTTTTGGATAATCGACGCTCTACTGTATATGCATACTTGCCTGTATATAAGATGAATCCCATTTTCAGACAGTATTTGTTGTGATCTTATACACAAATGCAGTAAATCAAAGTTATTAACTAGTTCCACTTCATTTTAACTGAAAATCATATTTTATTATTATGAGAAACAATGTGTTTAACTCCTTTGACTACAAATTCCCAATAAATAAACAATTCAAAAACATTTTTTTGGATAGTCAATCTGATGAATTAGTTCATGAATGCTTTTATAAAATAAAATTGTTTTAAAGATATTATGTATCAGAAGCTTTGATACAGCACAAAAATGTTTACAGCATTTGTAAATAAGCAAATCATGATATCAAAAATAACAATATTTTAAATACAATTTTTTTTTATCATCAATATATAATTTTTCTAGAATGTTAAATCTAAACAGACTGACTAATTTCTTCTTTGTAAGGAAATGCTCGTTTCAATAATACATCTGCATTTCCTGGAGAGTTGCTGTAAAGATCCAAAATGCATAACATTTTCTTACCAAGTATTTCACAAACTGTTTGTTGAACATTGTCAAATTGATTTTTCCTGAAATAACAACAACAGTCATTAGAATTCAAATAATTTCAAGAAAACAGATGTAACAAAATTAGTACATTTATAAATCATATATTACCACCACCTTTTTTTTTCTGTACATGGAAGTGTTGATTAATATTAATAAGTCATACTTTAAAATTATGGAATATTTTTTGTGAATATTTTTCTTATATACAAATTATTTATTATGAGTAATAAAACATAAGCATGTTATATTTCTAATCTGAACTGACTGAAAATATTGTTATAAACAAATTTTTTTATGATTCAGATGATTTGATTACTATTCTGGATGATAAAGATGTATCTGCTCTATATCATAACTAACTCAAGTGTGTTTGAAAATATTTTCTTTTTTATATCCTTATCTCAGAAAAATGTCTCTAAAGAAATTCTATAGCTTTTTACAGGTTCCTGAAAACTTTCTAATTCTTCATCTCGGAAGTATAAATTGATTTATTATATCTTTTCAACTTATTTTGTACAATTATATTTTTTTTTAATGCAAAAATGTTTCATTATTGGATTATATTTAATTAATTGACAATCAAAATGTTAAATTTTTTTTTAACATTCTTATTGATTGGAGTTATTTTACTGAAGATTGCATAAATTTGTTTTTGGGAGTATTACTAGAATCATTTTAAAACCAGAAAATTAAAAATAGTTAATTCAAGATACAACACCTTATGTTGCTGAGAAATTTAATAAAACACAACAAACGTTTTCAGCCAAATCTATTGGCGATCGTCAGGTAAAACAAATTTGAATATAAATAAATGGAACAAAATTTTAAATATAGATTTATGATCTGTCTATATTTTCCCATCTGTCTCTGTCATTACAACATGGTCTGTAAAATGTGGGCAATAATGTCATTGAAAATGAAAGTTTTTTGCATAATTACAATAACTTGTATGTTAAACCATCTGTAAAGAGCATAAGGATAGAAGAAACATGTTAAGGTAGTTGGTCCAATGTCAATTCAAAACAGAAGCATGTATAATAAAAATTGTCCCTATTCATCATGAAAATAAATTCTGCTCTCCTTTGGTTTAGTCATTTTGCATGAAATTGAAATTGTTAAGAGCACAACAAAAAAAAATTTCTAAAAACAACATATTTGACTACCAATACAAAAAAATTTACATGCACTTGAAGTAATATCATTATCTGTGCTTTTTTCTATGCTATAATCAGAAACAAAGAAAGAACACAAATTATCTCATAGGATAATTTCATATTATTATATATATCATATTATTATCAATTCATAGTTGTAGTTTTTAAAAATCTGTCTCAAGATGTGAAAATAATATTCCCGTGGAAATTACATCCCTAACCAAATATCTGTGATCAACCAAAAATGATGTATGATCAACTTGTTAGTCAGGTCTGCTATATATGATATTGTCAACATACACAAAGAATATATTGCTGACATTACACTTAATATAGCAAAGCATTGGCAGCCTTCACAACAAAAAATTGAAGAATACTGAGACTATGTTAATCATCATTCATAAAAGAAGTTAAATCTTAAACAAATTCATAGCATTATGTGAGACGGCAGACCAAATTTTGCCCTAAATTAAGGAAACTTTTTGCGATTGTTAAGAAAACATTTCACAGAAAATGGATTGAATATCACTCTTTTCATCAAAACTGTTAAAGAATTATAACAATTTAGTGCTAAGTTATAACAACTTATTGTTAAAGGAGGGGAAGTCAACCTGTAAACAAGTAAACAGGATGATCTTACAGGTCTCAAACCAAATATGGTAATAGCAGCTCCATTTAAACGACATCTTAGCATCATCGACAGCAACCTCTGAACTCACACCTGCAACTTTGTCTTCAAACATCCAATCACCTGATGGGTTTTCCCAGGCCTAAGGAAGATAAAAGAGGCCAGAACTCGAGTCTCGGGGTGGACAGCTCCAGATGCCATATCCAGGTGAACGTCCAAAGAGCATACAGGATGCTCTACTCACCATATGCGGCAGAGTCCACCATAGAAGCCTTCTCTTGCCTCACCATACAAAACACACATCCAGCTTCATATAAGGTGAACATATCCCAAGATGCCATACAGAGTGGGCTCCACCATAGAAGGTAATGCAGGTCTCATACTTCAGAGGGACACCACCCATTGATATCCCCGAGTGGGCTACCACCTAGAAGCGGCCAACACAGGTCTCCACCTCCATATGAAGACTGACGACGACCCAAAACTCTGAGAGGTCAACTAATTGGTTACCTACCAGAGGTAAAATACTTAGAGAATTGTAAATTCTCTCTTGATCTACATAGCCCTAAATAGATAGAAGCATAGATAGGACGGGAAAGCATCTCGCAAACAATGTACTGTACTTAGCTGTTTAGTTGTGTAGATTTAGTGGTGTATTTCGTGTTTAGCTTGTAGTCGAATATTTAGATATATATTATAGTTGTTATGTTTGTTAAACCTGGCTACTTGTCATTACTCAAATAATGGACAACCTATCAACTTACTCTCTGCGCTCCCCACTCGATTCAGCTATCCAATGCAGCAGTTTTTGCCAAACCATTGTCGATTAAGCAGTCTTTAGGGAACCACTCACCCTATTAGCCCCCGGATTCTCACAATTAACAGAAAAATAATGAAACCTTTTCCAATATATGAAAGTTTATACTAAAAGGCATTCAAAACACCATTTATGTATTTCTTTTATTTTATAACTTAATGTAAATAAAAAAGGAAAAAACAATATTTGTATAACATTCCAGCATTTGAACTGCTTTAAAAAAACTTAGCAATAGTCAAAAATATCCAGATTTTTTTAGAAACTTAAAATCAAAAACAGACATTACTTGTTTACACATATTATCCAGTTTTATTAAATTACCAAGACAATACTTATGTAGATTATTTATTAGATACTTTATAAATAATTTTAAATGTCCATATTATCTATCATGTTAAATTTATTTAAAATTCAGTAAATTGATAATTAATCTTTGCAGTTTTTATAAAATAATTATAAAAATATTACAAAAATTAAATCAAAATCAAATTTTATAAGATCTTAAAAACATTTAAATACTTACAATTCAATACTGTCATAATGTAATCCATAAAATTTCTTTGATTCCATTGAAAAATCCCCAGAAAGTAATTTGACAAATGATGGATGTGGTCGATTTGATGGTTCCACAAATAAAAATGAATTAATAATAACATTATAATTCACAGCTGCAATATCTATCCTATAATAGCCAGGATAATATATAGCTATGTCTGGAAAAAATATTTTTATAAAATACTTTCTCTGAGAAACTTTACATTTACATTTTACATTACATTTAAATTGTAAATACCTTTTAGCCCTTCTAGATTTTCATCAGTGTTCTGATCAGCAGAAAATGGGGCAAAAGATAGCCAATTTCTTAATACCTTCTCATTTTCTGGGCTATATTGATGAGCAAATGCATTAGATTCAAGTATGAAGTTACCTAGAATATCATACTTGCCACTATGTAATCTACGGATATCATTAAAAATAAGTTTCGGAATTTGATTATCAATATTTTCTATCCAACCATTTTTCATACAAGAGAAATATATCACTTTAACAATAAAACCTGTAACATTAATCCTGCGTACTTCTTTATAAGAAAGACTGTTAAATTCCTGTTTCCACACATCTGATGGAGTCAGCTGAAATTATTATAAAATTACATTCACTCTCTGACAATTATAAAAGTAAAATTTATAGATTAACACTAAAAAATACCATAAACTGGGATTACTTTGTGGCACTATACTAGTATAATTAATTTTGAAAATGGCAGGTTTATATCCATTTCAAAATTTATTTACATGTAAGATACCAATAACCTGTATCTGATGCTAAAGCTGGAAAGCATAGGATGCAATATTTTTCACTATTGGTGTTCTTTCTGATAATCAAGAAATTGAGGGATCTGTGAAATGTGATACTTTCTTTAGTTGGAAGAAAATGAAAATAAATATACATTTAGCACATCAATTAAGTTAAAGCATTACTTCCATTTATAATTATCTATAAATACAATTAAATTTTATTTATTCGTTTAGCTGGTATAAGCTACATTCTGTAGCTTATACCAGCTAAACTAATTCTGTAGTAATTGAATGGTACTTTGTGACACTATATGAAAGCATAGGAAGTGAAATTGCAGACTTATGACATATAGACAGCAAGATAAAACATCCCATATAATGGAAATTTTACCTAGAAGATCAAGAAAACTTGGTAATCATCTAGTATCCCACAAACAACACTTGAACTTATCAAACAACAGGTTGCTGATCAAATACATCAACAGACAGAAACATCTAACATTAATGAAGATCACATAACCTGTCAGGATAATCCAGCAACAAGCATTGATAATAGTACACATACAACAACTACCACTAATGATACTACAGGCACTTCCTCATCAATCACTGATAATATAGACATAGATTTAATTAATATGCTCTCACATATATTTCAGGAAACACTCACTAAATATACTGGTACAGATCCCACACAAAGACCATGAATACCAAAGGTACTCATGGTCAACATGTCAAAGGTAGTAGGAAAAACACTAAACTATGTAAACACTCACTTACTACAGCACTACATCCATTTAATTTCTACACTCTCAGACATTCATACATTAGTTTATGCTGAGGCAGTCACAGTAGTGACACACCATAGACTGAAAATACAATCGCAGACAGATACACACAAAACACAATTCTATCACAAGCCTGCCTGGCAGACAAGAATAGAAACACAAATAAATGACATTAGACAGCAATTAGGCAGGCTGACACAATACACTAAAAACAACATAACACCCAAATTAAAGAAACAACTCAAAAACATTTTCAAGAAAATCAAAACACACACAAAACATGAACATCACAACACACACATTACAGAATACATCGATACACTAAAACAAAAACTCGCAGCCAAAGCACGTAGACTCAAACGATACAAAACATGTACACTACGAAAACAACAAAATAAATTATTCACAAACAATGAAAAACTTTTCTACAGACAAATCAGTACCAAAACAAACACTGATACACAGCACAGTGGCACACCAACAGAAGAAGAACTCACAACTTATTGGTCTTCTCTTTGGTCCAATGCTGTTACACACAATGCTGATGCAGGCTGGATCAAGGAGGAGAACAGAAACTTGCATAACATACCAACTATGCCCTGTGCTGAAATAAACATACACGACATTCGCTACGCTGTTAACAGAACACACAACTGGAAGACACCTGGTGTAGACAACATTCACAATTTCTGGTACAAAAAGTTTACATCACTGCACCAGGAACTAGCTAAACATCTAACACACATTATCATCAATCCACAAGACATGCCAAAATTTTTTACTCAGGGCATCACCTACATGAAAGCTAAAAACAACAACACCACAGACCCCACCCACATAATACATACCAATTACATGTCTTCCAACATTCTACAAATTATTGACATTCTGCATTGCAAGCAAAATATACAAACATGTTGAAGTACACAACATTCTTACAGAACAACAAAAAGGTTGCCATAGAAGATGCAAAGAACAGTTACTCATAGATTCAGTCATTCTACAGCAAGCACAGAAACATATACATGGCATATGTAGACTACAGAAAAGCATTCAACAGTGTTCCACACAGTTAACTGCTACATATTCTATACATGTACAAAATACATCCACCACTCATTGCATTCTTCCAAAACACTATGCAGCACTAGGAGAACAACACTACATCTCGGTTCATAATACATCTGTACAAACAAACCAAATATTCACTAGGCAAGGAATTTTTCAGGAGATTCCTTGAGTCCTCTCTGGTTCTGCCTAGCCCTGAACCCATTATCCAACATGTTAAACAACATGCAATATGGCTACAATATCAGACATGAAAAAACAACACAGTTTACGCTGTTACATCTCATGTACATGGACAACATAAAACTTTATGCATCCATGCAAAAACAACTTCAGCAGCTCTTACAAATCACACACTCATACACCAAGGACATACAAATGGAGTTTCACTTAGACAAATGCAAAACAATTCACATAGAAAAAAGGAGTCCTGGAGAAAGAAGATTTTGCACTTGGAGACGTTATTGAATCCATGAAAGAGGGCGAGTTCTACAAGTATTTAGGATTCCAACAGGCCATACACAAATAAAGCAAAGATTAATTAAAGAATACCAAAGTAGGTTAATTTAATTAAATGCAAAATGCACAGTTAAAGCAATAAACACATGTTGTCCCAGTACTCACATACTCTTTTGGAGTTATACATTGGACTCACACAGATCTCAAGCAACTCCAAATGAAAACAAGAACATCACTTACTAATCATAAACATCATCACCTTAAATCTGCCACAGAAAGATTAACCCTTCCATATAAAGATGGTGGACATGGCCTGATTGACATTGTAAACCTTCACTACAAACGAATACAGTCATTACGAGAGTTTTTCTACAAGAAATGAGAAACATCACAGTTACATAAAGCAGTAACTCTAGTAGACTCAAATAGCACACCATTAAATTTACACTCACATCATACAGACAAGACACAACATATAAAAAACATAGACACCATCATGCAATTTTGGGCTCAAAAGGCACTCAAGGTTATAAGGATGTAGGCACTCAAGGTCATAAGGATGCTGTTTTGTAAACAAAATCCTGGATTTTGTTGACAAAACTGCATCAAACAGCTTGTAAAGTACTATATTATTTTTCCGACTTTTCCAACGATTATCGACACTACTGTGTGCTGGAAATAGCCGTTCCCTAACGGGTACTTTACGCGGATTCGCGTTAGTGTGCCAGGCCTGGACTTTAAGCGTGCACCGAATTAAATAATGACAAAGTTTGTCAATAACAAAAGTCAAATATTTAATTAAACTTCTAGTAATAAACTATATACAGTATTTAGTAAAAATCAAAACAATAATTTATTCAATGAAATTCAACAAGAATCAACCCGACAAACTCAAATCAATCTATTTCTAACTTAATTCTATTCCCCTTTGAAATTCGACAAAAATCAAAGACTTAAACTTATAAACAATATTTCTTATAAATTAAAGATCCTAATCGTCACCTCAATATACCAGGAACCTATTTCCTCAAACTCTCAAGACTTTCTATAATCGTCGATCCATAAATCGAATAACTTCAAAATCGCCTTGGAACTATTTGATTCTATCGGACACCTCTCTCGTTCACTGCTACTAAGCTCACCAAAGCTCGTCGCTATCAGGAATTCACCTCGTTCGTCTTCACTTGAGACTCGGGATTTATAGTGTGAGGTGACATCACAATTCTGAATGAGATCACTCCCTCATTTACATACTTATTCGCTAACAATAAATTTTTTTCTATTTGTCTGGCAGCCTATTTTCCGACAATACTCGCTAACCTTTTACATTATTCGTTTTCACAAATTTCGGGACGTTTTTTATTCTTTCAGGTTTAGCGAGTCCCTAATTCGTGCTTGTGGGGTCTCCCCCCTTTTCTCGGTGCGGACTTACTTTTTTCCGCTCGGGAAGCACGAGTTTTTCTACGGCGCTTTTCTTTCGTCGGTGAGTTTGTTTTTCTTCTATTTTTAAGTTACTAAGGTGAATGGTGAGGAAACCTTCGTCCTAACAAAACATAAGCCCCAAACAAAAATAGAATAATAAGCAAAATAAAAGTAAATAAAAATAACGCTCGGACTTTGGTTCCTTACAAGCTGGCTAGATCGGGGATGCCTCTTTGGGGAGACAGAAGGATTCATGATTGCCATATAGGATCAAGTCATAAATACTAAAAACTACAGAAAACACATACTCAAAGACACAACACTCACAAATGACACATGCAGAAAATATCAGATCATACCAGAAACTATACAACACATCACTTCTGGTTGCAAGCTCTTGGCACAGACAGATTACTTACGTAGACACAATCAAGTAGCAAATATAATACACCAAGAGCTTGCAAAGAAACACAAATTGGTAGACATCCACGAACCATACTACAAGTATATTCCACAGACAGTATTGGAAAACAACATGCACAAAATGTACTACAACAGAGCTGTAATCACAGATAAAACAATTTACCACAACAGACCAGACATCACACTCATTGACAAACACAATAAAATCACACACATTATAGACATATCCATTCTAAACACTCACAATATACAAAACACATGCACTGAAAAAATCAGTAAGTACACAAAACTTGCCCAGGAAAATAAGGCATCTGTGGAGGATGGATAGGGTTCTTATTGTACCTGTTGTTCTTTCCTCTACAGGTGTCATACCCCACAGACTACACAAAGGCCTGGGCACATTACAATCGAATAGAAACACATACATCACACTACAGAAGGTCACTATATTGAATACACATATATTGTTAGGAAATTCCTGAATACAGACACACACACACTGACACAGTTTTTTAATTTTTGTTGTATTTTGGTTACCATGCCTTGACTCTGGTCCGGCATAGTACACTGCCACCGTTGTCAACTGAGTATAACTCACAAAACCCAACATAATAATAATATAAAAGTGAAAGTAAACAGATGTGTCCGGTGAGAACTCACAGGTTGCCAGATAGGTTTTATAAAAAATAAAGCAGAATTCCTTGAAATGTAACCTAAATTATTTTTGAAGTGGCCCAAAAAGTAGTAAGTAGGGTTTCTCATTTCCCAGTCTTTTGATTGTCCCAGAATTCCAGGATTAAATTGAACTGTTTCCCAGGATCACAGGATAGAATTAATTATTTTTAAGATATACAAAATATCTTACAATCAAATGATATAATTATTTTTCATTTTTTAAAGTAATTTAGTACATTCTGCAACCTCCAAAATAATATTAATAATGCTGTGTAAGATATATAATAAAAATTACCTTTGAATTACATAGAAATTTTCACAAATAGAAAAAATTCATTAAAGTTTGCTGGAAACTGCGTACAACAACAACAACAAAAAAATGCTTTGAGTAGAGTTAAAAATTAAAAAAAAATGAACTTAGTACAAATTTCTAACTTAGAAGGTAATTTTCGTTTTTTAAATAAAACAAAATACAAAATATTATTGTAAATTTTTATAAAAAGATTTTAAAAAATAAATATAGTTAATACTCTGATCACTCAAATCTAATTCCTATTTTAGTAATGAAAAGTCCTGCTACCGAGAATGCCCTTTCCAATTCAATTGATGCGAGTGGAATTGTCTTTAGTGCATTTAAGAGAAGACAGATATTTTGTATTTTTCACCTGTAGTCTGGAAGATTTCTAGTTAGTTTTCGAGATTGTAGTACTTCTTTTGCTCTTTAGTATTTTTGATTTGTCTACCTCGACTGCTTTAATAGAAACATAAGCTTATAGCCCAATAATTCAGCAGTTCATTTGTCTTTAATAATCAGGCTTATGAAGAAAACGTCATACTTGCAGACTTTGCACTCGTTTATATTTTTGCCCAATTTGCACAACCTGGCATTAAACAGTTATTGAAACTACTGGGTATGGTTAAAAATTTAGACAGCATAAGCACAATTATTCCAGATATTACAGGTTCTGACAAGTAAAGAATTTTCAGAGTCTTGCCACAAATAAGCTACATTAATTCTGACAGTTTATGAGTTAATTATGCTTTCTATTTGCAAAATTTCTTCAACCTTAACACAAAATAAGAAAAAAGTGAATTTTTAAGAAATTTGTGGGATTTCCCGGGATAAGAAAAATTTCCCAGGTTAAAAAAACAACCAGGATTCCATTTGAGAAACCCTAGTAGTAAGTACCCAAATGTAGTAGCCTAGAGCCCTACAAATATCTCAATCTGCTACTCATAGCCCAATCTTGCAAACCCAAAAATCAGCTGTATTTTATGAGATAAGGGAAAAAAAAATAAGGTGACACCCAAATATGTGTTACCACAAAGGAGCCATATTGATCAGATTAGAGTTGTTCTTGGTCTATTTTTCTCTTACAGCATGGAGGCACTTCAATCTAACAAACCAGTTAACATGCAAATTATAGTTCAGATAGAATTTTCACTTCAAATTTAAAGTAGCTGTATTTCGAACTAATGGAATTCCTTAACATGTAAACCTATATCCCTGGCTGAGACAAAATTTCAGTTACAAACTAATGGTATTTTGAATTATCTAAGTTTGATTTAATGAAAATTTCCTGTATTTCTAATAAATAATTTTTGTTTCTCCTTTTCCTTTCCACCAGCAATTGCTGCGGGATAACATTATGACATAGAATTCACTAGAGATTTATGCAGCAAACAGGCTTCACAAAGTTATTCGAAGTGATGGGATAAAATCGTGACAAATATTTTTCACAATAAATTAACAATTAAGAACTGTGTGTATAAAGAAAGCAGAATGTTAAATCATCTTAAAACAGCAACTAATGACATGTTTGGGTCCAATAATTCAATAATTAACATTAAAAAAACATGGACAGGATTATAAAATAACTCCAGTTTACAGTATTAAATTATTATTATTATTCTTACAATTAATGGATTAATATACAGAAAATAACAACATATGCATTAGTTGTTTAGGTAGTTTGATGAATTCCAAAACAGTCTTTCAGTTATTTATGAGTTTTAAACATTTTACAAATTATTTTTTTAAAGCACATATTCTTTGCAAATGCTTTTGATAACATTGAAATAAGAGCATTTAGCTTCAAATTTGGTATATTATTCAATTTTTTGTTTTAAAATTAAAAAATATTTCAAATGTAAAAGCTAAATGTTCTTATTTCATTCTTCTATTGTAAATGTCTAAGATAATAATTTTAATGTTAACCAAAGTATTTGCAAAGAATATATGCTTTATTTTAACAAATATATGCTATTTTTCTTTTGTTTAAAACTCATAACACTGAAAGACAATTTTTGAATACACATCAATCAATTAATAAATAAAAATCATCATTAATTAATGTATAGTATAATTTGCATAAGTTTTTGTCTTACATAATTCAGTCTCTCTCTTGGTATTGAAGCCTTGAAGAACTCAAATGATTTCTGACAAGGTGGATAATTATATATGCCACCCATGCGAAAAACAGATTTCTTTAACTGTGGCATAATATCTTTACTTTTCATCATGTCGATCAGATTCAGAAATTCATTTGATTTTTCAAATTCATTTTCTTTACAAATCATTAACTAAAAATAAATTTGCTTGTTTGAAATGAAAATTATATTAAAAAATGAGTTACCAAAACTTTAAGTAGCCTACTTTACTTTCCCTTGTTGTAGTCAAATAGAAGTCTCTTCTATGAAATGATTTAGTTATAACAAATGGAACATGTACTAAACGAAGTTGTGAACACATCAGAATTTGACCAGGCTGTAATTCTTCATGGATATCTAGCTATTTAATTATGTTTTTTTTATTATTTTATGTTGAATTTGGATTATATGAAGAAAAGAATATATTTACCTGATCATTAACATATACTTGCAATATAATTGGTAAAGAACTAGTTGGATCAATTAGTTCTATCCAACGATAAGTCCAAAATCCACCTCTGGAATTACCATGAATATCTATAAACAAAAATTAAGTTTAATATTTTGGTTTTATTTTAAGAAAATTGCAATTTCTACTTACCTAAACATTGTTCACGAATGTAGCAACCAACATATACTGTAAGTGCAACGATGTCCACATTGGTTTCAGTTGGCAAATTTCCAAGAATTTTTCTAGTTGCAAACCAGTATTGTGGCATTGGAAACAATCTTTTAGTGTTCAAATGTTCCTTCAGAAAACAGCGGTCAATTATATGAACAGAACTATTCTTATTTATTTTCAATTCTAGAGGATACTTTTCAAGTTTTCTGAGTTTATGTCGAAGTACAGAAGTAGAACTACATGGATATTTATTTACCACATTGTAATTTTGAATAAAGATTACAGCACCAGGCTTAATTCTGAAAGTTTAAACAGAATTTATTAATATTATATAAAAATTATTTGATATTTATTTATTTTTAAAAAATTAACTACATATTTTAAACTTTTTTTAAATCATAAAAGTAACTAGTTGTAAATTATATGAATAAAATTTTAAGTTAATAATGAACACATCATATTCATTCATAAATTAAAAATATTTGATTATATTAATTTTTAATTTAAATTTTAAGTCTATAATATTAAATATAAGTAAATACTTCAAATGTTAAAATGCTTATCTTTAACTTAATTATCAATCATTAAAAAATATAAGCAAATATATGCAAATTTGCTTTAGTGGAGCTCATTCACATTAAATATCAGTTTCTTGAATACTTTCAGGCAATCAAGCCCATCATCAGAAGATACAAAATCTCCTGATGATGATTGATAAGCTGAATATACTCAAAGACTTTATTTAATGTAGACAAACACCAATAAATCAAGATTTTGCAAAAATAAATAATGTAATCTATATAATTAAATATCAATATTTATAATATATTAGTCCAATTTTTATATTAATAGTAATGGTATTGTCTTAACATACTTTGAAAATAAATCAATATTAATAGAATCCCACAAAACTGCTGAAACAATTCCTGTCTCATCTGCAACATCTAAATAACCCTATACAAAAAAATTCAAAATTATATCATTAATATTGAAGATATAAGAGTAAACATTTTCTCATCATATGAAACTGAGATAATATAAAAATTAACAAGCAATTATTTATTGTGATGTCATCACAATGCCAGACTGCAATCTAAATATATAAAATTATTTGTCCTGACTGACTGACTGACTATTGATTCTTCATCGCCCAGAGCAAACTGCTGAACCTAGAGGTGAAATTTTGTACACAGTTAGGGTATGTCATGAAAATGCACACTAAGAAGGGATTTTTCGAAATTCCCTCATGGAGGGGAGAGGGAAAGGATTAAGGTTCTACTGTACTATTTTAGATGCAATTTTTTGTTTTCAACTACGTTTAGTCTTCATTGAGTACTTAGGTGTATTAAATTGATAACATTGCAGACATTGTTATAAATATCTTTATATTTTTTGATTTTTTAACTAAATGTTCAAACTGTTTTAAATTCGAATTTGTTATTGCATATTGGTTCAATTATAGAACAATTGTAAAAGTTCCAGAAAATTGATCAAATTGAAAACAGTTTGCTTGATTCTCAGCAATTCTCATCATTCTCAGTGGTAGGTGTTATATAACAATTACTATGGTTGTTGAAATACTGAATATAAATGGCGTTTTTTGCAAAATCCGCATGGACAAAGTTGCGGGTAACAGTTAGTTTTTAATCATATTTTTAATTTATTTAACTTATATGTTCTCCACCTCAAATTAATAGTGTCTTGTCCCTGTACATCATATTTTTTCTTTAACAAGAGAGTTGTGCCTGTCATCTAACACCTTTCAAGGGAAAATTTTTGAATTGAAATAGCATGATTTCCGGTTTGCATTGGAAGTTCTTATATAGTTAATTGGGGCCTCCAGCCCTAGTTTCCATATCTGGTCTCATCTTTCCTCTATCTAACTCTGTACTCAAGATTAAGGAAAGGCAATGGGAATTTACAGGTCTACAATTTTTTCAAATTGCAGTCCAATGAATTGTATTATGCCATATGAAAAACATAAAATATAGCAGAATCTCAATTACTGGAAGTGATATTGTCTGAGGATACCTTGGATAATCAAACACTCAGCTAACAATATTTGGTAAATTAATAATATATCTAAACCTAGTTTATTTAAGGAGAAAAAAACAAACATTTCAAAGTTTAGCAATCAAAGCTTTATTGGTAAAACATTTTTCAGAATCTCTCCATCCCAACATTATTTAATTTGTATGAAGTAGGAGCCAAAAGTTTTCAACCTATATTTTAGACATGATAGAATAAAATAACGACTATCAGTTAGCACCATCTGTATGTGGACTAATAAGATAGTTTTTTCCTGCCAATGTGTCTGAGTCACTTGGAAACATTCATTTTAGCTAGACTTGTTGCATTAATTTGCATCATGTTTGCCTCTTGCAGGACAATGCTCCTGCGCACACGGCTGCTATTGCCAAGGCTGCTGTAAAGGAATGTGGGTTCAAGGAGTTTGATCATCCACTCTATAGACTGGAACTGGCTCCTAGAGATTATTATCTGTTTCCAAAACTCAGAAAGACCTTTGAAAAAAGTGATGAAGAGTTGCAGGAGGCAGTTTATGAGCATTTTGCAGACAAAACTGTAGACTATTTTTTTCAAGGGTATTAAAATGCTAATTCCAAGATGTAATAAGTGTGTTGAACTGCAAGGAGACTATATTAATTATGTAGACTATATTAAAAAATGACATCATTGTTTTATATACATAACATCTAAACTAGGGGTCCCCAAACTTTTTATCCCAATGACCTCTTTATAGAATATTTGCCTTCTTATTAACCCCCAGATTAAGTATTTAACAAAAACATTATATCATTTTTTGCATTTCTGATGTTAAGCAATAAGGAGACCTGCATAACAACCCAACAAAAGAATTTATAGTTCCCATATCTTATAAAATCCACCCAATAACATTAACAGAAAAAGGAGATATTTTCCACTGATTTATAATCTTAAAAAAATAATAGCAAAAGTATGGATAGATGGAAATGTGCCTATAGTTCTTAAACCGTATGTGTCATAATACGTAAAATACACAATTATCTTTGAAAACATAACATAATTTATATTAAATGAAAAAACCTCTTACTGTCATTTTGCGACTACTACTGAATGTGAGGTCCCAAAAATGAGTTGAAATTAAACATTTATTATTAGAAATTTATTAAAACGAAACTAGAAAAAAAATCGTCTATTGTTAAAAACCGATCAAAGATCGAATTAGTTGTTCTAGTCATATGAAACCACGACGAGAGAAAAAACTCTATTGATGTAAACAGAACACAATAATTGTAAACGAACAACCTCCAGTAGAGATGGACCTTTGACAAGTTGCTCTTATGCAAATAATTAGAACATAGAAATTTTGAAAAGAGGAAAGGTTAACGATGAAAAGGGATGAAAAGGGACATCACATTGTGTCGTTAAATTTCAAAAACGTCACAGACTAGACAACAATGGCGGAAAATATGAGTGCAAGTTTCAAAGTTCCATCAACATTTTGCATCCAGAGTAACGGATGGTGTCAAGTAGATTCTTCAAAGTGGATCTTTCTGGTGACTCAAACAGGAATTGTCTTTCACTTAGAGACAGACGAGAGACCAATCAAGGAGCGAGAAAAAAGGGACATGGAGCCAATCAGGAGAAAAGAAAACAAAGAACAGAGATTGAAATAATCCCTGATCTTCAAGGACAGACTGACTTTTTCCGAAAACTATGCACCTGCACATGGTTAGTCAACGCAAAAAAGCAGTTTTTTGTCTGTTGTACCCAACTGGTAACCTGTGACTACAGACTCAGACCGCCAACACCGACTAATGAATCTCCACACCTGCCGTTGCCCCAGGGCCTTCTTTCGAGCAACATTAGAAACACCATCGACAATTTGAACCTCCAATTGTATAAAGAACATTTTTGTTCCTTAGTGTAAGTTTACTTTTATGTTTAAAATAAACGGATTTTTGTGAGATTCTTGTCATCCACGTCTCCTCCACCTCACCCACATGCAAACAACCCTAGATCATCCTGACGCGGGATTAATGATTTCCCCTGGAAATCGGAAAACTTACACTGGTGTCCAAGGAGTGGGATTTTAAGTCTCCAATCTCCACCAGGTCAATGAACTTACAATTACCTTAAAAATATGTTAACATACCTTTTTATTAAAATAGTTGATATTGGTGGGATGGATGTGTCTGAAGAGAAGCAGCAAGATTATTGATATTCGGTTGAAAATTGTTAAGTTTTAGTTGCAAATCACCATGGTTTTCCAAGTTCAATCTGTTTCTCTGTTTTGTCAAAATTGCATTGGCATGGCTAAAACCAGCTTCAACCAAGTATGAAGTTGGGAATGCAAGTAAGAAAGGTTTGGCTTCTACTCTGAGCTTGAGATATTTAGTGGCAATATTGTTATTGCTCCAAAATTGACTAAGGTTTTTATTTTTAAACAATGCTTTAGCTTCAAAATCTACACATATTTCAATCAGTTCATCTTCTAAGCCAGATTCGCTAGCTTCATTATCTATTTTTACATCAAATGGATTAGCAAATCATTCAGGAACATGCATATTCTCCAAGTCTTCGAAACATGCATTAAGTCTTCTCTTAATTTATCAAGATGTTTAATATACATCTCCAAATCATGGTCGGAAACCTTTTCACTTTCTTTTAGTACTCGCAAATTTGAAAAATATTTAAAATCAAATCATGCCAGTGAAGATTTAAATAGCTCCATTTTTACTTGAAAAGCCATTATGATTGTGCAAGCTTGAACAATTGTAATGTTTTTTCCTTGCAAACACTTCTGTACTATATTAAATTTTGAATAAAGATCTGCCAAATAGAACAGATGGTTCTTTCACTGTTTTAACTGGTCACATTGTGATGGATCCACATTCCTAAGAAACTCTTCAGCTGAGTCATACAAGTCAACAAGCCTCTGCAAACTATCACCTCTTGATAACCACCTTACCTCAGTGTGCAAAAGTAATTGATTGAAAGTGTCATCATTTTCTTCACATAACTTCACAAACAGTCTGGAATTGAGAGGATGAGCTTTAATTTTATTTATTGACCTGATACACACTTTTAGAATATCATGAAGTTTGCCACTCAGTTTTTTTACTACAAGATGCTGCGTGTGTAGGGCACAGTAACCAGTACGTACTTTAGGAACCTTTTCTTTCAGAAAGACAAAAAATCCTCTGTAACGGGCTACCATAGCAGATGCACCATCAGTAGCTACTGCAGTAATATTCCTGAAAGGAATGCTGTGCTTGTTTATACAATCTTGCAAATGTAAAAAAATTGTCTCACCTTTTGAATCAGTTTCAAGATACTTAGCAAATAGAAATTCATCAACAGTGTCATTCAGGAATGGGCTATGAAACCTAAGCCATGAGAAGATTTGAACTTCCAAAAGTTGATTTGTCAAGTTGAATAGCAAACTTACAATGCTGGAGCTCAGAAGTCAAAGTTTTTTCCACATCATTTTCTCAATACGTCACTGCACAGTATTTGCAATTAATGATATGAATTTTAAAACTAGTTGAGTCTTTCTTCATAACATTTTCAATTACATCTTTTATAGCTGGTATTATAATCTTGTCACCAATAGTATAGGGTTTGCCTTTCTTTGCTATATTAAGAGATGCTGTAGGATGTCTTCAGTTCTCCTTCTCTATCAACACTAGCAGATGACTTCAAATATGTATTCAAATTTGGCCAAACTCTCAATCTCTCTTTTAGTATTTTGAAATACTCAAAATCTTTGTTTTTCTTATCAGATTGGATCCTTTCCAAGTGGTCTTTCATTTCTGCAGGCTTCATAGCATCATTATTTAAAGTTTTTTTCACATAATAAGCACATAGGAATAGTTTCATTAGCAAACGATGGCACAAAACCATATTTCAAATACTCCTTGAATATTGTCTGAATTTCTTCTTAGCATTGATAGCTGACATTGTGGGTATTAAAATCAGATTTTTAATCTGAAAAACACAATATGTTTGCAGTACAACAAAACAGCAGCAGCAAGAGAGACAACTTATAGAGTTCCTTGTATTTGATTGTTAATTGCAGAATGAGAAAACCAATTAAATGTTTCTTTAATAAGAAATTATATATTTCTTGGAAGGCCTTCTTTTGTAATGCTAATTGTAATGAATGACAGAAGCAACATACCAGACAGAATCAAAGCAGATACTTCAGCTTTGAGTTTAGCATATACACCATTATTGATTCCTATCATTATAGAAGCATTATCTGTTCCAATTGCAACAAGTTTGTGCAAATCCAAGGCATTATTTCTCAAGAAAAATTTAATTGCTTCACAAATTGCATCAGTATTGCACTCTTTAAGTGGCACTAAATCTAAAAAAGTTGTAGTTATGCATTTTTTATTTTGAGAGCAATATCTAATTACAATACCTAAAAGCTTGGAAACTGAAATGTCATACTTTCATCAATTAGTAAACTATAGTTGCTATCACCTATATCAACTACAGTAGAGTGTTGTTTATCCGAAAGCCAGTTATCCGAAACGTCAGTTAACCGAAAGCATTCCAGTCGGCAAATTTAAATTTTTACTAGTGCTGTAGCGCTGCAATCTTTGGCTATATCTTGGGTTACTCCAATATTATTTTTGTTGGTGTGTGTATTTTAGCTGGCAGCACTGCCACTTTTGTGTGGTGTTTTTCTGAGGACTGTGTGTCGTGCTGAATCGAACGTTTTTGATACTAGATCAACTTCTAAAGTATAATTTTTTTTGTTTTTATATTTTTCAATATATTTATTTTGTTTGTAAAAAATAAAGAAATAATTTTTCACAATACAGTAGCTACAATTATTATTTTTAAAAGTTTATGTTAGGCTTAACATTGACAAAAATTCAACGCAAAGTGACATACAACAGAGAAAATTTTTAACATGGGATAGGCTAATATATTTTTTCGTACATAATTGGTTATCCAAACAACCTCAGTCCCCAATTGATTCAGATAAACAGTGCTCTACTGTATTAAATTTTCTTTAAAATGTGGTGCTAAACATTTGAAATTATGGCTGAACATTTTGTTCATCCATGAGTCAGATTATTACAACTTTTGCTATCTGAAAAATTTGTTGTACAAAATTTAGTTTGTTTGTCTACATGACTTATAGGACAACTTTCTGCTACAAAAAGTGCCATGTTTTTCTCTGTTCTATGAACATTTGAGCTTTTCATAAATGGAAGAATATTTGCACTCCGCTGAATACTAAACAATGGCTCGACTTTTGTATGTTTTTGAGTTTTTCTATGCTTTTCTAAATCACTTACTTTTGCTATCAAAATGCAGTTACAATATTTACAGCAACCCTTTATTTTCTCCTTCTATTTCCTGCAACCAGTTTTTATACCTATCATCACGTAGCCACTCTATTCAAAATTTTTGAGTGTATTTTCTTTCATTTGGCATTTTCACTGATATCAGGGTAATAAATAATAAATTGCAATACCAATAAATAATAGTAAATAATATTATCACAAAATGACACTATATTAAAGCATTTGCTTAATCACGATGCAGGATAGATAACTTATAAGGATTCTCAAATTTTAATTTAATAATGATCACTATCAAACTTTAAGAAAATTGAAAAACTATTTCAATCAGGATTGATAATGCCCACTAAGCTCCATCCCCCTTACAAATGTTTACCATATTTGGTCATGATAAGAAAACTCGAACTCTGATTTGTGTTGCCACTGTTATTAAAAATAAGATTTGCGACTCATACACATAATTATTGCACATTAAAGATAATATAAATTAATAAATTTATTAAATTTTATAGATTTATGAATTTTTTTTGATTTTGTGGAAAATCTCTAAAATGATATATGATTAACACATTGGTGTTCCAGCGTTACAAGCAACATCATGCTTGTAACACCACAACACTGATGTGTTAATCATATATTACTCTACATTGGTGTGAAGTGTAAGTTTATTTATCTCTAAAATGTAGCTAAATTTACTAAAAAATCTCTAAGAAAAATCTCCATCGCTAAATTTAAAAAAAAAAGTGCTAACTAAAGCAAAAACTCACCAAATTTAGTGACGCTATTTGCAACACTAATACAGTTGCCAGATACACGAAAACATAGTAACACATGCTTAAAGTGGCATAGGCTAAGGCAAAACTCAAGTTATAACTAAGGTAGTCAGTAATGTTGATCATATCCGTATTTCAAATTTTTATTGGAATATTCTATTTTTTTCCTAGACAGTTTAATTGATCCTCTTTGGTATTAATCAACCCCTTTTTTGTTCCTTGTGTATTAATCACCCCTGGAGAACTCTTATCGACTCCAAAGGGTCGATATTGACTTTGGGGGGACCCCTAATCTAAACCAAATCTCATTGATTCGTCTTTTGTTTGAGCGCCACACAACTCTTGATTACTCACTCCACCCACACTGTTGTTTGTCTTACATGTTTGGACGTGTCATGCGGAATCGACACATAGCTACAATTTATTTTGTGTTATTTATTTGTGTGTTAGTTATATCTACGGAAACTTGAGAGACTCTATATGGTGATTTCTTGTAACCATAAACGAATCAAAAGACGAGATAGGATTAACAAGAACATTTATTAGCTTACATATAACTGACTTGGATTTTACACAAATTGCGAAATTATACCCTGACTTATGCAGTTATTGCTTGGTCCCACCTATCGCGTAAGTTCGGGGTATTACTGTACAGTCTATAGTAACTTTCTGACTACAGCAATATAATGCAAGATATTGCAAAGATTTCTGAATATTGAAAACACTCATTAATTAAATTTTTCTATTGTCAGGAAATTTTAAATTAATGCACAGTTTTCTGAAAAATTTCATCTTGTCTGAGTTATGCAAAGTCCAATTTAGCAAGGATTTATTGCATTTCAACAAAAAGTTTAACCCTTGCAACTTTGCACATCTTTTACAGTTACTTAGAATTCTTCCTGTTAGGCAAATTCTGGTTACCTTCTCAATGTTTTCAATTTTTTTTATCATACTATTTCAATTTTATCAAACTGTCTTCAGAGATTTTGTTTTCATGATTCAAAGAATTGCTTTCTAATTTTACCACATTTAAAAATAAAAAATCATTATACAGTAGCCCCTCATTATATCACATCTTGTTATATTGTGAATTCGGATATATTGCACTTTTTTTGAGTCCCCCAAGTTTTAATTGCACTTAAATCAATGAATTTTAAATTACCAATTGCCACTGAACTTCTTTTTTGTGACAGAATATGGTATTTTAATCCTACCATTGTCCTTGAAACTACCACTATCACTGCAGATGAAACAATAAATTTGTCAAGATCTACATAAGCAGAACAAGTGGACAGATCAAATATCATTTGTTTCCTTTTAATGTTAAAAGTTGTTTATTTATTAGTTTTAAGTACTTTCTACTCATTTAGAAGTTTCAGTGACATTTTGAATCCACTGCATAATGTGCAAGAAACAGAGTTCTAAAATTTTTGATTTCTGAATAAAAAATTCTAAAATTTTTATACAGTAGTAACTTTGTTTTGCTTTTTAGAGAATTTTACATGTTCAATATTTATTTTTTAAATTTTCAATTACCGTATAATTTTTATTTAAAAATATAAATTACACTAATTTTTAATAAGCGATTTATTATGAAATATAGTGTTGTATAATAAAATTGTAACTGATATTTTGTTTTTATATCAACAGTATTTGTCTTTAAACATTATTGTTAAAGAAACAATAATGCTAAATGGGCATTCACAGTATTTATATTTACATAAATGTCATTTAATAAGATATAACCGTGAATAAAATTCAGTATTGCAAAACTAACCTTATTTTATATCAGAAACACTGCTGATGAAAGAATAGAGGCATAGATTCCATAGCATGTATAATCTGTTTAGTAAAAGCCCAGAATTTTTAATACTCTTACATCACACCATTGGATATATCACACTTTTTCTTTGTCTCCTGACAAGCGTAATATAATGAAGGGCTACTGTATTTACATGTACGATAATTAAATGTAAGTATCTCTTAATGTTTTTTAATGTTTGGCTCTTATTTACCTTTTTTTATTTATTATATACTGCATTGCATGTTTATATAGTTGTTTTATTTCATGTTGTATTAATACTTGCAGTATTTTTAGTTTTATTTTATGTTTATGTGTGTTCAACTGTTATGTTTTAGTGGGATTTTACTTGTTGTGTAGAAGGTAGTAATCTTTTGCCTTATTAGCATTACTTATAATTGGTGTAAATAACAATAAAGAAAATAATAAATAAATCATAAAACATATTTTTAAGAATATTTTAAAAGTATGGCAAATGTTTTATTCATTTAACAAAAAGTATTTATCACAATCAATTATTATCTATTTTAAAAATTACAGTTTACAAGATTTTTAAAAACAAAGTATATGTAAATTCATAATGTAATTTCATTTATTTTTATTTTTGATAATTAGTTTCATTCAGACAATGAAAAAAATAAACAATAATTTGTTATTACTAGTATTTAGAAAACTTTCAAAAATATAAAATTACCTGAAATGGAAAAGGATTATTCTTTGAATTTTTGCCATAATGGTGCAATTTTCCTTGAAGAATCACAGAAACTAATACAGGTGGATAAGGACGAATCATAGTCTTCCACTCTTTTGCTAATTCACAGAGTAAGATTGTTTCTTGATTAAGATTATAATGAGTCCCATCATTTGTTGATTCTAAAAAATCATTATAATTTCATGAAAAAGAAAAGCACTGAAATTATGAAAAGTAATAATAATACTAACCAGAATTTTTACATGGCATATAAGGAATATGCATAAGCCATGTATTTAAATAATATTGTCTTAATGTCACCAGAGGAATTGGCCATACTTCTCGTTTATTGTGAGATGACATAAATAATAAATTGCCTTTACAATTATTAAAAAATAAAAATTACTAGTATAAGATGTATATTAGGTATTAAAAGTACACTTTCTTAGAAATAATTCAACAAAATAAAAAATATCATCTGATTAAAATGCAAAGTTTGTTATATATTAATATTTATAAAACTTCACAATTAAGCAAGTTTGAAGGAAAAAAAAATTGCTTAGATTCTAGAATTGTAGAAGCTGAAATAAAAGCAATAGTAGTCAACTTATATTCCTCCCTCCCCCCCTTTTTCTGGCGGCTTTATTATTTTTATGTTACTTGCAAGTTATTTATAGACTTTCAGAAGACGCAAGTCCGATGAGTTGCGCATGCGCACTTCGGTTTCTATTTAATTCGTATTTCATGCATTCTTTTTTAGTGTTCTTTTTTAAGATTGGATCAACTGAAGATGGCCGTTTAAAACGGTTGAAAATGTTCTTATTAAACATCTTTATTGCTGGATAGTTAAAGGTTTATTTTTATTTGAAATAAAAGCAAAAAACTACTTAAAAATTAAAATGTTTTCAACCTAAATTTAGCCTATCCTTGGCAAATAAACTTTATGAATGGAACAGACAAAATATTCTATTTTAAATGTTCTGTTTTCTGTTAATGGTATTAAATATAATTTTCTGATAATCATAAAGTAGCTATTTTTTGTTATATATTACAGTACTGTTTTGATTTTTCTGAAGATGGCAATTGAAATTATTAAAAACATTTGTTTGTACAATAAAACTATTTTCAAGAATGTCTGAGCTTATTTTATTTAATTTACTTTTTTATTAGATGATATTAAAATGACAAAATGATTCAAATAAGGACATTATGTTTACAAATATTTTCATTTGAATGACTTGTCAAATTGATTTAATCATGAAATTACAAAACTTTGACTGTAATTATAATACTTAAAATCATTTAATAAAGCCTCATTAAGTCAAAGTTTAATATCTAATTTTCTGAAACTTTTTTGTAGCCATTTTCTATTATCATCAAGTTATTCTTCAAATCTATTTACAGAATTATTACAAAATTGTACACAGTTTATGGAACATTTAAGTGCATTGTCAAGGTGCCCTTTTCTGTCTCAGTCAGAACATCAGTAACATACTGCATCAATAAAAGAATGTCTATGTGAGGTTTTAATGGTATGATATTGTAGTATTTGTTTATCTTAATTGTCTGTATTCACATGAAATATAGAAGAATTAAGATTATGATTTATCAAAGGGTACTTGATAAAATTTAGTTAAAAACATAAAAATGATAACAATTTTGATTTGACAAGATTATTATAAGTAAACCCTATATACTGTGCCCAGAACCTGTAGACAGTTTGAGTTAATGCAGTTCAACTTACCAAGATTTTACTATATAATAAAGTTAATATACAATTTAATTTGGCAGTGATCCTCTAAATCTATGAATAATTTTAAAATATGTCTGATAATAAAAAAACCCTTGCTTATGAAATATTACATCATAATTAGCATTTCAAAAAGAAGAAAACGTAAAAAATGAGATTACACTTTATTTCTACATTGTGTAAAAATTATTTTATAGCAATAATTTTTCAGATTTCCATTAATTTAATAATTTCATAATTCTTTTTTTATTCCTTTTGTATAATGAGGTAACTTACTTTTTACTAATAAGATTTTAGCCATTGTATTGTAGGTCAGTCAACTTACAATACAAACTCTTAATATAATTTAAGAATAATTGCTTCAAATTTTATCATAAAAATTTGATAGTTTCATGACATCTATAAGCAAAATACATGGCATTTTCTCATCTCTTACACACAAATATAAAATACAATATAGCATTTATTTTAAAGATATGGATTTAATTAATATAGTATAATACAGTAAAATATGTAAATAATGTTAATTTAAACAAAGGAATGGCACTGGATGCATGCCAAGATAAAATAGCATGATATAAAATACCAATGAGTAGTTGAAGTAATTTCACTGATGAGGCCTGTACTAAAGACAAAATGCATATGGAAAAAATTTTGAAGGTTAAATAAATTTATTTATTTGTATATTTTTAGCAATCATAGTGTCTGGTTCCTCAAAGTTGGTTGTGTCTGAGTATTTTAACACAAGAAAGGAATNTTAATAAATGCTGGGAGGAATTAGTGTTTATAATAAAAATATATTAAATTTAAAAGTATACTAAATAATAAATAAAATCTGGAATATTCAAATTGAAAATAAAAGTGTAAAATAATAAATATCTCGTAGAAATTCTTGTCCTCGAATCTTGCACTTGTATTCTCTGAAAATATATGTATACGTAAATTTAACATTTACTGTTTATATAATAGTGTAGAAAAAATAACTTGACAAAAGCATATGTATATACCAGAAATTTTTTTTCGTATGATAAATTTCCATACAAGGATCTACACACAGAGGAACGCCACACTGTTTACATGAATAGGTTGATTCTTTCCTAGATCCTTTTTTGATACAAACGACGCATTTTCTTGTTGCATGCTTTTTTGTACTTGTCGGTGAATTCGCTCTTAGAAAATGCCTCTCCAGGAGTCTGTTTGGGGTAATTTCCTGCATGTGTTTTCTTGAAGGGACTGGTTTGGTAATTCCACCGATGTACTTCTCTGTAAGTTGGTCCACAAGTTGCAACCGGAAGTTTAGTTGAGTAAGCGTTCCTGTAAAATTAAAATTATTGAAATATATAAATATATACTGAATTACATTATATTACAATGTATAACGTATAAAAGCGACTAAAATGCAAACATATTTACCTCCACACTTTTTATACAGGATAAAAGAATTGAAGATTGTGATGTCCAGCAGGTGACGAAACATTTTGTGATAATATTTTTTTAGGCGAGCCCTTGCAATCGAGTATGTTGTAATACACTGATCCGCAAGATCTATTCCTCCCATTCCTTTACTGTACTCCACACAGACAAGTGGTTTTAATTTTTCTTCTCCACCTTAAAATTAAAAAATAAAGAGATTTTAAAACTTTATATTAAATTTTATATTAGCCGTAATATAAAATTACTATCTGAATACTTACTTTTGGTTTTTATTGGGACCACTTCAGCACCATGTACGGTCGATAGCATACACACTTCCTTCTTATCCTGCCACTTCAACGTCATCAACTTTTTTCTGTAGAATGCGATGAAATCTCCTTTCTTCAATTTCTTTTTTTTAATGTCTTCTGGCAGGTCCTTTCTGTTTTTTCTTAGCGTACCGACCGCATCTGTCTTAAAATCAACTAACAAATCAAAAAGTACAGGAGAAGTATAATAATTGTCTACGAATAACATATAACCCTTATTTAATAATTGATCCATCAAACATAATACTATTTTTGTTGATTTTAGCTGAGTTGATAAATCTAATCCTTGGACGTGTTGTTTTAAATCGGTTTCGCTTCCTGTATACATTATCATGTTGTATACGTAACCAGTGGAGGACTCGCAAAGTTGAAATGACTCCATCCCGTACCGGGCTCTTTTTTTGGGGATGTACACTCTCCACTGTAATCTACCCTTCCATAGCAATAGGCTCTCATCAATACTTATGTTTGTACCGGGAGTGTACGCTGATTGCCATTTCTGAAGTAAATAATCAAAAACAGGTTTTNGACTGAATAGGAGGCCAGTTCCCCATAAAAGTCCTCCTGGAAGGCATTTATTTCCCGCGCGTACGTATGGCTGTTCAATACAGCCGGCTAATCGGTCGCCTAGCGATCATACACTTACACAAGTTTACTCGGAGAAAGAGCCTATAGTGAGCTATAATCTCCATATTAACATCATCGTAAGAAGAAGAAGAAGAAGAAATTTGTGCTTGTAAAGTGAATAAATCCTTAGGAAATGGCTGAACAGAAACTTTACTGACTTGTGTATTTCTAATTTATAGATATTACTCTACTGTAATTTTTAATTCTTTTATTTTTGTCGAAAAGGGTGAGAAATCTACATGCATATTAATCTGTAATTTTTTAAGAGAGATTTTTCAAATATAAAGTGTATATGCATGGGTACTTGGCAGTAGACTAATAATCGTTTATTTGTACATACTTAATTTTGTAATTTTATATTGGGACAATAAAGTAACATTCTGCCTTTATATTTTATATACTGTGTAGAATTTAATTGTAATTTTAATATTGCTTTATACTATGTCACATAATACTGTGAACAGTATACAGTATTATGTAAC